TAAGTAGTTGTGACAGAGATGTATAGTCCACAGAGCCAAAAATATTTACTATCTGGCCCTTTTCAGAAAGTTTGCCAGTCCCTGGCCTATCGCATCCATCTTCCCCTCTTCCCATCTTAACCCCTTACTTGACTAATTTCCATGTGTCATTCTTTGATGGTTGATCTTCTCTGACTGACCCTTCTTTGAGAAGCCTTCCTTGACACTGCTCTCTGCTCACACCACAGATAAGCTTATTTAGGTATTATTTTCCCTCCACAGCACTCCTCACTTTACTAGAACTGCAGATTTTCTTATCTGATTCTTTCACAGGGTGCATCCCTATAGCCATTATCCACAACACTTGCTCCAAAAATGTCTGCTCTTGATCCAAACCACAAGTATGGGCTAGTAGTCGGGTAAGCCCTTAATCTAGGTGTCAGCAAACTTGCAAGCAAAACAGTCTCTGTCTCAACTACTCAACTCTGCCATTATAGCACGACAGCAACTACCACTTAAATGAACAGGCATGTCTGTATTCCAATAAAACTTTATTTACAAAACAGGCAGCAAGCTGGATTTGGCCTGTGAGCTAGTTTGCCCATTCCTGCCTTAATTCCAACACTCAGCAATTCTTTACTTTTCTTTCTATCCCAGCCAAAAATATTATCTCCAACCAAATTACCAAAAGATCCCTGTACAAATTGCTGACATCATACCAATTCTCTATAGTATGCACAGTCCCAATGGTGAAGGAGCACATACTGAAATAGAACCCCTTCCCCAGACCTACTGAGAGCTTTTATTGTCAGCAGTATGTCTCAGATTCCATCTACCTGGGAGACTTTATGATCAGTAGTCCCTTAATCAGATTCGTTACTCTGAAAAAATAGACTTCAAGGGTCAATGTCAAAGTAAGTACTCACAATTTTGTTGGTAGGTAGGCTGCAGTGTCATCTTTATTTCTGATAATGTCGTTACATTTATCCAGTGTTTGAAAAACAGTATAGGTATCCCCAATGCTATAAAGGGCTGCAAGATTTTTAGCTAACAATTTTCGTGTAGGCGGTCCAGGTGAACTACTTATTAATCCAGTTAATTGTTCAACAAGCTTTTTCTGTTTTTCCTTTACATCTGTCTGTTATAAAAAATAAAGAACATCATCAGTTTTTCTTACATGTATTTTTGTTACCTTTTAATCAAAATAAACAATACTTAATGGTTAAGGCACTCTAATAATTAATATCTATATTACATTAGGCATGTAACTATGAGAATTTTCAAGATAACGAAAAGCTCAGTAAGACATGAACCATTCTTTCCTAGATTAAATATTCTCCTTCATTCTCCTCCAGTGTCAAAAAGTTAGCTGCCAATAAAAGTGACTACTCTAGATCCAAAAAGTTTCCATGCCAACTTACTAAGAAATAAACCAATAGTCAAAGGATTTAAAATACTGGGCATACAGACAACCGACGTCTTAGAACCCAGACAGGCTCCCTTATAAAAGCAAAGTCAGTAGTTTATAAAGTTACAGGTCAGTGAAGGAAACCAGAAGACCTCTGAAGAGCCCTAGGCAACAGAAAAAATATTCAGATCTACCCATAATACTGAGAATTCATTCATTCATTCAAGAAATACTTATTGCGTACTTATTATATGCCATGCACTATTCTAGGCACTGGGGAGCAACAGAGAACACAACAGACAAAGTATCTGCCCTCGTGAAGTTTAGATTCTAGTGGGGAGAGAGAGCATTTACCAAATAAACACATGAATAGTGTGAGTTCTTACTGTTTTCTACAGATTAGTAAGAAAAGGCCTCTCTGGAAACAAGTGAAGGCGTGAGCTATGCAGATATCTAGGAGAACATTCCAGGCAGAGGGAACAAGTGCAAAGGCCTGGAGGTGGGAGCATGCTTAGCATGCTTGAGGACAGCAAGAAGGCCAGTTTGGCTGGCGCAGAGTAAGAGAGACCAAGGAGTAGGAGATGAAGTCAGAAGGGTACAAGAAACCAGACTGTGTGGTGCCTTAGACACCACTGTGAGAACTTTGTATTTTTTTCTGAGTGAGAGTTTGAAGCAGAGAGGGACGTGATCTAAAAGTTTTAACAGGCTCATTCTGACTACTGAGCTGAGAATACTCTACAAGGTACATGGCTGGAAGCATGATGAGCACTTAGGAAGCTGTCGCAGTAATCCAGATGAGAGATGAGGGTGGTAACAATAGAGATAATGAAAAGTAATTTAACTCTGGATATATTTAGTGGATAGAACCAATAGTATTTGCTGATGAATATGATGTGAAGTTTTAGAAGAAGAGAGAAATCAAGAATGCCTCTAAGTTTTATGACGAGGGGTCATAAAGGATGAAATGGTCATTTCCTGAGATGGAGAGCACTGGGGAAAGGACAGGTGTGGGAGGCGGAAATAAAGAATTTGGTGTTGACTACGTTAACTTTAAGATGCTGTTCAGATATCCAAGATAGAGAGGTGGAGCACGCTGTTGGATACCTGGGCGTCATTATTGCATAGGTGGTAGTAAAAATCTTAAGATTAGATAATATCACGGAAGGAATAAGTATAGACTAAAAAAAAAAACAGTGTCCAGGACTCAGAAGGAGCCAGCAAAAGAGAATGAGGAGTAACTAGTGAAGTAGGAGGAGCACTAAAAGCAAATATGTCTTGGGAACCACGAATAGGAAGAACTTCACGCAAAGCGTGCATCAACATTAATGATAACAATCTATTTTTAAATTTGGGTGGAGGGTGTAGAGATGTTCATATTATTATGCTTCATAATTTTAATAACTTTTTATATACTCTTTTGCATTTTTCAATTTCACAACAAAATAAAACATATTTTAAGTGTTACAAGATAGAGGAGCAACGATGTCAAAAGCTGCTGACGGAGGTTTTTAAAGACAGAATAATGACCACCGGCTTGGGCAATTTGAGATCACTGATGACTGGACAAGATCTGTTTCAGTAGAGTGGAGGCAACAAATACCCAGTTGGAGGGAGTTTAACAGAAAATAGAAACTTCTAATTAGACTGCAAATGAATCCATGCATTAACCCAGAAACACCACCAAAACTATATTAAAGGGCAACCAAAAAAAAAGGCACAAATCCACAAGGGCAAAGAAAATAGGAAAAGAATCAATGCAAATATGGAAGCCAGGGATCCCCAACATGGAAAGCTAAGAAGAGATCCAACTTGTAACACAGAACCCTCTAAAAGCTCTTATTTGCTTTTTGTTTTTTGATGTCCTAGGTGTGTATGTTGGAGAGAGTGAAGCTGTGCCTAGAAATGAAGGAAATGGGTGAGAGTCTATTTAAGACGCTGTACGACTCCCATCTCTCTCTCCTCCATTCTGGACTAAGGGAGCTCAGGCATAGCTGTGGGCTGGGAAAACTGCACTGAAAACAGGCAATTAAGTGAAAGCTTACATACTGGGTGTTGAAGTCCCCAGCTTTCTCCCCTCATTCCCAGAACCTAGGCAGCTACCCATATACCCTAGGACACTAGAGTAGAAAAGTCTCTTCTGGGGAATGACTAGCCCAGAGAAACCTAAGATACTAACACCAGGGGTTCCTCAAAGAACCAGACTGGTCTATGGGGAAGCACAGTTAACAAACTTCACCCTGCCCAGGAAACTTTTTACTACTCATTTACTACTCACTCTTAAATTTGACCAGACAGCCCAAGATCATTAGATGTTTGAGGAAAGCACCTAATTTTAAAGACAGAAAATAAAACAGACAGATAATGAAAAGCAACTTGAATAAAACAGACTATGCAGAAAGAAGAAAACAGAAAGCAAAAAAAACCTATTAATAACTCCTGAGAAAGATAAGTGAAGACACTGGCATTGCTAAACAGCACTGAGGGACCACCTGAAGTTGGGGATAGTAAATTTAAAGTGACAGCAGTCACATAATCATGTTTTTCTCCAGTCACATTCAACTGTCCAGGTAGAGGCATGAAGCAGGCAACAAGCTGAATTTAAATGAGGTTTGGGTTTTGCCACAGACTAGAAAAAGGACAGACAAGAAATTCCTATTACAGTGCAATATTCTCAAGTTCCATAAACGACCCACGACCTTTCTGAAACATAATGCGTTTTCTTACAAATGACAAACACATAATACTCTTTATTATGTTAACCCAACTGGAAAAAAAGCAATACCATACCTTGTTGGCAGCAACCAAGACTTTATCAAGAAATCGCAGCCATTCAAAGATAAAAACTGGTCTCTTTGCTTCAGTGATTTGAGCCAAAGCTTCTTCATTTAGCAATAAACTGTGGGCTAACTCCATTACTGAGGTTTTAAATTCACACCTTAAATAAATTAAAAAATACTTGTAAGGATGCAACCTTGTAATGAATGCAACCACTAAGAAATGAAAAGCAAGGCTTTACTTCTCTTTTCATTTGAAGGAAACATCCAACTTCTTTGAGGCAAAGCCTGAGAACTTTAATTTTAAAGGACAAGGGTACAAACAAAAACAAAAGCAAATGCTTGGTGAGGAAGAACAAATAATGGGGTGAGAAGAAAATATTTTAAAGTAAGTACTGCAAATAAGACATTATTCCAGGACAAATATGCCTAGCAAAACACATCATTAACCCATTCCATAAATGGGAAAACTGAAGCACCGAGGTCAAACACCGGCCGGGCCTGACAACCGATCCACCTTTTTTCTCGTCCACTGCTCGGTGCACAGCATCCCTACCCCTCCCCTGCTGCACTGGACCCAGGAGGACGTCGGCATAAAGATCCCACACGGTAAGTCTCCACGAGTCTTCCTACGGGGATGGGGTGGGGGCGGCCAGGTCTCCGCGGGCGAAGCTTCAGAGACAACCCCGGGCGGTCCGGGGATGCAGCCGGCAGAGGCCGCGCGCCGCGGGTCTGCGTCAACCCGGCTACTCCGAGGACGGCAGCGCGGCACCGGGCCTGGGGGAAATGCAACGGGCCGCCGCAGGCCTCGACGGGGTCGCTCGGGCTGTCAACTCCTGGAGGCGGCAGCTCGGAACCGAGCCCGCGCTTGAAAAGGGAAAATGTGCACTACGAACTCGATTTTCCTCCCCAGCCTTCTGAAAATGCACGGGGGGAGAGGCGTGTGTGTGCGTGTCAACTTCCACGCTCTGGCTGCGGATGGGGACGGCCTCACCTCCTAGTCTGGCAGGGGCCGATCAGCTAGGCTCCGGGGCCAGAGGCAGCCACCGAGGGACCCGGATGCCCCGCCTCCCGCACTCTTGACAGCAGGAAACTAGGGCAGAGCGCGTGCGCGGATGGCGGTCTCGCGCAAGCGCACTCACCACGTCCTCCTCGCCCCTCCTGCCGCTGGTTTCCAATTGATTCTGCAACAAGGAAACTCAGGTGGGAGCGGAGGCCCAGAAGTTCTGCGCAGGTTAGTGGGCGCATGCGCAGCGCGCGCTGTCGCGAGCTCGCCCGGGGCGAGTAGAACTGCCAGGTAAGGGGCTGGAGGCACCCGGTGGAATGATAAAGGGCGGTGATCTGTGCCTTGGCTCTAACTACCCCATCACACCGTCACCCACGTTCCCACCTGTGGGTGGTCGCTTCTGTGGCACGCTTACAGCGGGAGAGACGCGAGAGGGAAGGGATCGACGGTCCCTGAGGGGAGTGTTTGGGACTGAGGCGTTTCTTGTCACCTTTCTGCTGTACATCCAGTTGCTTAGCCCATTTCTCCACTGGGATGTATGATGAGACTCTCAGTATGTCTGAAGCAGCACTCTGTTGCCACCTCTCCGCCCGCTTTCTGCCAAAAAACCCAACCAAAACCCAAAACAAACTTGCTGCACTCTACTCTCAAATACTGGTAACTCCATTCTTCCAGGTATTCAGACCAAAAGCCTTGGAGTAATCCTTGACATCGATATTTCACACACCACCTCCAATGCATCAGCAAATCTTGTTAGCTCTACCTTCAAAACATACCCAGAATCTCCCCACTTCTCACCACTTCCACTGCTGTCGCTGTGGTCCGAGCCACCGTCATCTCTGCCTGGATTATCGCCTTGTGAAGTTTACCCTTACGCTTGATGAGAATGGATAATGCTAAAGTATATGGTACCCATAAAAAGGGAGCTTTAAAAAGGACCTGTAACCCCCATTCACATCTGCTTAGCACTTTAGAACTAAATGGATCCCTTAAAGATAATCTAATTCTGAGGCCGGCTGGGAAGCGTAGTGGTTAATTTCTTGGGCTCCATTTTGGTGGCCCAGGGTTCACTGCTGGGATCCCAGGCACAGACCTACACACTGTTCATCAAGCCATGCTGTAGCAATGTCCCACATACAAAAAATAGAGGAAGACTGGCACAAATGTTAGCTCAGGGACAATCTTCCTCACCAAATAATAATCCAATCCTATTTCTCCAGCTAAAAAGTGGAACTAATTATTCCTACCTTATAGAGTTGTTAATGATGATTAAATGGGATAAAAATGTGTGCTGTACTGGGTAGGTGCTAAACCATTACGTGTTTAACAATACTGTTATTAGAAATGAAGAATCTGAAGTTTAGAGACAGTGAGTGAATTACCACAAATGCTGTGTATAATCTTACACTTTTTAAACTTATTATAACAAAAAGAAAAATAGGCAAAACTAAACTGTAATATTTAAGGATGATGAAACTGTAAAGAAAAGGAAGGAAGTAATTGGAAGGTGCAATTGGGTAGGGGTCAAAGAGGGCTCCAGGGTAGCTGACAAGGGTGATGATGTTGGTGATGGTTTGTATTATCTTTTGCTGTATAACACATTATCCCAAAATTTTAAAGTTCGAAATAACTGTAATCATTTATTATCTCACAGTTTCTGTGGGTCAGGAATTTATTAGTGGTTTAGCTTAGCTTGAACTCTCTTAAGAAGATGTAGTGAAGCTGCCAGCCCAGGCTGAGCCATCTGAAGGCTTGACTGGGGCTCGAGGGTCCATTTCCAAGGTGGCTCCCTCCCATGGCTCCCAAGTTTGTGCTGGTTTTCGACAGGAGGCCTGAGTTCCTCCCATGTGGACCTCTCCATAGAGCTGCTTAAGTGTCTTACTCTGTGATAGCTGACTTTCTTCAGAGTGAGGAATCTAACTTCAAAGTTAGAATGATCTAAGAGCTGTAGTGTCTTTTATGACCGAGAAGTCACACCCCATCATTTCCACAACATCCTGTTGGTTACACGGGTCAATGCTGTTCACTGTGGGACATTTCATATACACAAAGTTTGAGATGCACTTTTCTGGATAATTATTTTATCCTGTTAAGGGCCAATGATTACATAATTTTAACTATTTTAGATGGAAACTCTCCTCAAAATCTTTCCAAGTAAGTGAGATGTTAACTATATCAAGTTGCAAATGAGCAGCTTGAACATAAAGTGCTGTAGAGAGAGGCCTGGAGCATTCCGGACAGGTTTTGCTGAAGCAGGATAGCCTAGGCCTCAGAGGAAGGAAATGTCTGTGGTATGTACAGAGGGCAATGAGAAGCCCATGTGGCTTGAATAATGAATCCTAGAGGAGAGTCGGGTCAGATTATGAAGCTCTCTCCTGCTACAGTGCTAAAGTGACTGGTCCTCCACTGCCTACAGGGTAAAGTTGAATGAAGGATTTGAAAAAGGCAAGTAACATGATCTGACTTAAGTTTTTAAAAAACCATTCTGGGGGGCTGCCCCGGTGGCTTAGTGGTTAGGTTCGTGCACTCAGCTTTGGTGGCCTGGGGTTCGCAGGTGTGGATCCTGGGTGCGGACCTATGCACCACTTATCAAGCCATGCTGTGGCAGGCGTCCCACATATGAAAAAGAGGAGGATGGGCACGGATGTTAGCCCAGGGCCAATCTTCCTCAGCAAAAAGAGGAGGATTGGCAACAGGTGTTAGCTCAGGGCTAATCTTCCTCACTAAATAAATAAATAAATAAATAAATAAATAAATAAATAAATAAATAAAAAACCCCTCTGGAGAGGCTATAGAGGATAGATTGGAAGAGGAGAGGCCAAAGGCAACGAGAGCAGTTAGGAAGCTATGGTAATAGTTCAGGTGAGAAAGAAATACCTGAACTAAAGCAGTGGTCAAATAGGAAAAAATGCCTGTGAGGGATATTATAGAGTAAGAATTAATGTGGTTTATAAGAGGTCTGGAATAGGGAGATAGTAGTGACATTAATTTGGAAATATAGGAGATGAAGGAGGTTTGGAGTGGAAGAGAATGAGTTGTTGGGATTGTTGAGTTTGAGAGTGCCACAGAGACAGATGTCAAGAGGGCACTGGAATATGTAGTAGAGCTCTAGAGAAAGGTCGTGGCTGGGGATACAGAAAGGTTTACTTCCATTTCAGTAGGCTAAAAAAATAAGAATTGTAACTTTATCCTATTTGGTTTTTAGATACTATTGCCATAGGAAGTTGAACATGGCAGAAGAAGAGGACTATATGTCTGACTCCTTCATTAATGTCCAGTAAGTAAATGTTTACACCTCATGTAATGATATGTATAAGACATGAATGTAGACTCTTAAGCAATGATATTGATTTTAAATGTGAGGTTGGAAAGTTAGTCTTATTGCTTTACGGACACACCTTCTACATGTCCATACAAAGATACTAGGAGCTTCTTCTTCCCTTTTAATGCTAAGCATTTTACTTCTGCCCTTCATCCTTTTTATTCCCTCTTCCAAGGAACTGTACTCTTTTCGTTTATTTCATCTTATTGTCTCTTCTAGCTAACATTCAGCTTTGCTGTTTATTGTTGCCAACTTCCTAGAAAGATTAGTCTGAACTTAATGTTTCTAATTTCTACTCTATACTTTCTGTAGTTTCCTACAATCTGGCACCAGCCTTCATCATTTTTCCTAAAACAGCCATTCTCCGAGGTCACTGACTATGTTCCATTATCCATGATGACAAAGGTGATCATAGAAGAAGTACTGAAATATTGTGTCAAGTGAGTAGCAAAGTTATGAGAAAACTTCATGTACTCGTCTAAAATAACTTTTTCCCTTACTCTTCAGAGAAGATATCAGACCAGGATTGCCAATGCTGAGGCAAATCCGAGAAGCCCGTCGAAAAGAAGAAAAGCAACAGGAAGCTAATTTGAAAAATAGGCAGAAGAGTTTAAAAGAAGAAGAACAAGAAAGACGTGATATTGGGTTGAAGAATGCACTAGGCAGTGAAAACAAAGGGTTTGCTTTGCTCCAAAAGATGGGATATAAAAGTGGTCAGGCCCTTGGCAAGAGTGGTAAGTCACATCTGGAAATAAACAGCTGTTCCTAACCACCGAATGGTGATGTATTGATGAGTACCAGGGATGACTCTTTAATCTTTATCCATCTGCACAGAAATTAAAACAACTTAAGTTTCTTAGTCTCTGATGTACTAGCAAGCTTTATAGAGAACTTTCATCTTCCCACATCCATTTTAGACAACCATGTGCTGTTAAGAGCTGCTTATCAGCCCAGCTTAGCCTTGAAGGCACTAACAAGTGGGATGGATGAGGCTTATAATGGAGGCAGCAGCTAAGAATGGTGACAAGTGAAGGGTTGAGAAGTACAATGGTCAAAGGACAGCGAAGCAACATTGAAGATGATGTCAGCACTCTGCCCTGCTTGCTCTGGACCTGTGGCAGCTGCCCGAGTGACCACCTAGTTGGAGAAGCTCACTTCTCACCTCTCTTTTTAGGAAGTGAGACTGTTTATCAAGATGTAAAGGGGGGCTGGCCCCGTGGTGTAGCGGTGAAGTGCGCATGCTCCGCTGCTGGCGGCCTGGGTTCGGATCCCGGGTGCGCACGGATGCACTGCTTGTCAGGCCATGCTGTGGCCGCGTCACATATAAAGTAGAGGAAGATGGGCACGGATGTTAGCCCAGGGCCGGTCTTCCTCAGCAAAAAGAGGAGGATTGGCATGGATGTTAGCTCAGAGCTGATCTTCCTCACCAAGAAAAAAAAAAAAGATGTAAAGGCCGTATATTTATAGTAGTTTCTATAAGCTGTTTTTCTTTTCTTCTCTCCTTTATTGTAATTTCTTTGAACTTCACTTAGCAAGGCTGTCACCCTCTTGGACGTATAATATCAGTGTTTAAAACTCTACCTTCAGGTAGCATAAGAGTCTGTGGGTCAGCCTTATTGAGGACTCCGTATTTGAAGGCAAGGGAGGTCGTTGTTTATAGAGTATTGATGTTCAGATTTCAGTTTTGAATATCATTAAAACTGGAGAGAGTATGTATAGAACATTGTAAAGTTGCATGCTATGCTCACCTGTAGTTTGAGGAAGAATTTCTGAAGTAGTTTGTGTTTTACTCTCTTTTTTAGGAGATGGTATTGTTGAACCAATTCCTCTCAATGTCAAAGCAGGTATGTAATTATTTTTGAGTGTATTTACTAGTGATAATAACTTACACTTAAATCTAGCACATATATTTGCTTAATAAATACCTTTTTATGGTGGTAATGTTACAGTTCTTATCATGGGAATCCCTGAGTAAAATGTTTGTTAGTCAAATTTCTAAACCTTTTAAACTAAAAATAAAAATGAGTTTTAGTGAGTATAAAATAAAATTTAAATCATAAAATATGGGGAAAAATTATTGTAATTGTTAAAAACACAAAGTTATTTTTGTCCATTGAAATGTCCTAAAAGTATTCTGAGACAGTTTTATCCATTAATGTTTTTCTTAATACTTTGGATGAATTCAAGAGAAAAATATATATGTTTTATTTGTTCATCATATTTATATAAAAGTATAAGAGTTGATACTGTTTTCCTGATTTAAAAAAAATGTATGGTATTACTATCTTATTAGATCAGAAAAATGATCTTTGTAAAATCAAATTGTGTGTTTGGGCTTAAAAAAAAGTCTCTAGTGTTTTTTCCTGTCATTCTTGTCAAATGATTTTGAGGGATTTTACTCAAATTAGAATTGCATTTAATTTGTAAATATTTCAATTGTCATGTTTTGAAGTATAAGTGAGTTTCTCATCATAGTTGTCTGTCTGAACAGGGAAAAGTGGCCTCGGGCATGAGGCATTATTAAAACGGAAAGCAGAGGAGAAATTAGAAAGCTACAGAAGAAAGATTCACATGAAAAACCAAGCTGAAGCAAAAGCCGCAGAACAGTTTAGGTAAAACTTTGTGTTGGAGCTGCTTTTGGCGTCATCTCTTCGTAATTGTGGTATGTCTTCTGGTAGTTAGGCGTATAAAAGGGATAAAGAGAGTATAGACCTTTAGTCTACAATTTTTTCTTTCAATTAGAATGCGACTTAAAAATAAGCAAGATGAAGTGAAGCTAGAAGGAGATCTTAGAAGAAGCCAGCGAGCCTGTCAACAGTTGGATACTCAGAAGGCAAGCCTTTTACCTGTTTTCAGTTTGGTAAAGTGTTTTGGCACCCAGTATGATTTGACATGTATTGATTTAAAAAAAAAAACTAGTATGTCTAGTCTTCTACTCATTAAAGCTTTCATTTAACATGCACTGCTGATCTGTGATAATCGATACTCACAATGACTTGTTCACTGCAGGAACCTGAATAGTCTGAATTATCCAGTAAGGGTTAAATAACATTTTTACATTTAATTGGTCTCTGCTTATTTGAATATTGATTGCTCAGAGCTAGTATATTTGGATATTCTGTTCACCAGAATATTTGATTAACCAGAGTAGCCTCTTTTCAGTCCATATTCAGTACTTCAGGTGTCTCTAACTAGTAAAATCATAGTAGAATACTATTTCACTTGAATGTTTTTTAAAATTCTATTATTGCTTTTTTTGTGTGTGTGAGGGAGAGTAGCCCTGAGCTAACATCCGTTGCCAATCCTCCTCTTTTTGCTGAGGAAGATTGGCCCTGGGCTAACATCCGTGCCCATCTTCCTCTACTTTATATGGGATACTACCACAGCATGGCTTGACAGGCAGTGCGTTGGTCCGCGCCTGGGATCCGAACCTGCGAACCCTGGGCTGCCGAAGCGGAGCACGCGAACTTAACCACTATGTGCCAGGCCAGCCCCCATCATTGTTTTTTTATTTTTTATTTTGATGGTTCAAGTACCATGAAATTAAAATGACTTCATTTAAAGTCCCAAAAATGTTTGTAAAATCTCCCTCATATGTAAATAGATTGCTGGAAGCAATCTTTCACTTTTCTCTATTTTCATAGCACTTAATTTTGAATGTATGTCATGACTCTCAAGATTTCCTAGATTATATGTATTATTTTATAACCATTAAGCTATTTATACCCATGGCTTATTTTCCCTACCAGACTGCCAGCAGCTTGGAGACAATGTTCTAATTGGGTTTTGCATCCCCATAGATCATAGTACGGTGCTTTCCTCTTGAAAGAGCACTCAGTAAATAATTGAAAGAATGAATTCATGTTGGTGTGAACATACTTGTGATAGTCTTATGTTTAGCTGTGTTTAATTGGGAATAATTCTACATTTTCAGAATATTCAAGTTCCCAGGGAGGTATGGTACTGGTTGAGGCTTGAAGAGGAGACTGAAGAAGAGGAAGAGGAAGAAAAAGAACAAGATGAAGATGAATATACGAGTGAAGATTTAAGTGTATGTTTTGGCACGAGTTCCTTGAGCACGGTGTCTCAGCCTTGGCACCATTAATGTTTTGAACTGGGTAACTGTTTGTTGTGGGTGCTGTTCTGTGCATTGTGAGATATCTAGCAGCATCTCTGGCCTCCACCCACCAGATGCTAGTTTCACTTCCCCCTTGTGACAACCAAAAATGTCTCCAGACATTGAAAATGTCCCCTGAGGGAAAAATCACCCCTAGTTGAGAACCACTGCTTATAGGTTTATTTTATTAAGCCCAAATCAAAGCTTCATATAATTTTTCCCTGTGGCTTCAGTTTACCCTCTCACCTCAGCTTCAGTTTGGATGATGGATTAGCTGCAGATGTAAATTACTTTAATTTCTACCTTGTTTCCTGTTAAACTTCTGGAAATGATTCTAATGCGTACCTCTCTCCTCTACCCATAAATAAAGCAAAAAAACATAATTCAAAGGAAGTGGAGATTATTCAAGAAAGGAACACACATTTCTATGGTTACTTGTATGTAAGAATTTTGTAGGAAACATTTACAATTTGAAAAACCTCTGTTCCACTGAACTGGGTGACCATTGATGAGAACTTTAATGGCAGAGGGAGGCAATGTTCACCCTCATCCCATCTGGGGGAGGTAGGTTCTTTGAAAGTAGAAAGGGTCTTTAAAGGATGCTGATTATAAGAGAGCCAACCAAAATCTGTTTTCTAAATGTTAACAAGTGGTCTCTGTTGTTTCTGGCAGACTTGTGAACATATCAGGGTGGCTGGTAAACTAGGCATGTTCTAATATATTCCGCCCTTGGCATCTCTCCTAACTGGTTGAGAGTATAGCAAAGATTTACAGCCCTGGGCTAATTTAGCCTGATCCAAGAGACAAGAAAACCAAGATTCTGTTCAATGTGAACTATTAATGTGCTTGTGTCCCATATCTAGGTACTGGAAAAATTACAGATATTGACAAATTATTTAAGAGAAGAACATCTGTATTGTATTTGGTGTGGAACAGCCTATGAAGGTAAGAAGATACTTTATACTCTAAAAATATTGAATACAAACGCTCTTTGATTTTTAAATTTTGATTTTTTTGTAAAAGTCACATTTCCCAAGAACAATGGAAATTCCTTATTCCATCCAAATGGCAAGCATGATTAATGTCTTAAAGAAATAGTGGATATAGAAATAATTGAGGCCTTATTAAAGGTGTTTTTAACTTTTCAGAAACTGAATGCATAGAAGGGAATTTTTTAGTCTTCTATTTCAAAAGAATTTTTTAATCACTTGAGAACAATGAATTTTTTCATGCTTTATTTTTAGATTTTTTTCCTCAGCTACAGATACTTGAAAGATATGTTAAATTTTTAGAACTAATTATTATGTAGTGAACCATAAACCTGAACCATAAAAATCAGAATGTTGAAATCTACTCCCTTTTTTTTTATTATAGGGAAAGAAATGGTTTAAAATTTGCCAAATGTCTTATAGAACCAGAGGCTTTCCCTTTTAACACATTTGCCCAAGCTGGCTTTACTAAGTTGAATTGAAGGACTTTGTACTTGAGAGTGAAGAATTTTTGATTATTACTGTTTTTATCTTTTTCTGGTTTGTTTAGCAGAGTAAGTAGCAAACACAGATACAAAATACGTGTTAGGTTGAAATAATTTTCTAGAATAGTTTACTATACAAGTTGTATTAATCTTTTATTTTCCTCACATATATTACAGATAAAGAAGACCTGTCTTCAAATTGCCCAGGACCAACTTCTGCAGATCACGACTAAGATTATTCTCAATAAAGTAGAAACTTGGAAAATGTTATTGTTTCCTAAAGATAGACAATTGAGCAGTTGGAATTCTCAAGTTTTTGATGTCAGTAAAGAAAGAGGCCCTTTATATGTTTTGTTCTTTTTGTACTTTGGAAATACTTTGTACTTTAGAATATAATTGTTCACTGACTTCAGAAAAATAACAGAAGGCTATTTCAGAACACAAGTATTATATACATGGGCAATTACAATTTATGACTCCATTGTGATGCTTATGGGGTTTAAGGACATTAACAGGTCACTCTCTTATTCCCCTCTTCACTTCAGAACAAAGTGAGAAATAAGACATGGGAGTCAGAGAGAGATCAAACTGTCGGCTTTATTATTGATGAAGCTGAAATAGAGAGCAAGGTTGACGTGTTCTCCAATCAGTCTCCCTAATATATCTCCCTGGTTGGAGAGAACTGCAGACCCTTGCCTTGCAGGGACAGAGCCCATCTTTGCATTCTGAGACCAGGTAGCTCTCAAGGTAGAGAACCCACCAGAGACTGGGCCACGCATGCTCAGTTCCTTCTCTCAAAATCACTCATGAGATAAGACACCTCTCTGTTGAGAGGCAATGAATGAGAGTTCACAGAGCTGCTCTCCACACTTCTCTCTCCCAAGGAGCAAGAAGAAGTCCCCTTCCCTCCATGCAAGCATGAGGAGGATGAGAAAAGTATTCCCCTCAGTAAGACTGATGTCAGGGGCAATGTTCCATTAACACTACTTAATTCTAATCAGTTTTAGAATCAAAAGCAATTATACTTCCGGTGAACCAGTGAGTTTTCATGGCAATGTGTATATCCATTGTAAGTGATCTATTGCACATTTTGGCTAAATAAACTTAAGAATTGGGAGCAACCTTAAATATCGGGTGATCCAACTAGTTACTGAATTTGGGAGCCCCTTGACAACATTCCCAGCAGGTGGTAATCCACAGAGAGCTCACTGCCTTAAGATGGGTAGCACTAAGTGATTTTTAAAGTTATTTTTCTGTCTTAAGCTGAAATCTGCTTCCCTGTAATTTAACCAAATACAGCTAAGGACATAATGTGGCACACCTCTAAAGAGCTCCACTCAAGGTTGGGCATCAAAATCATGAACTTTTATTTTTTTAATTTTTTTTAATTTTTATTTTTGCTGAGGAAGATTCACCCTGAGCTAACATCTGTGCCAGTCTTCCTCTATTTTGTATGTGGGTTGCTGCCACAGCATGACTGACAAGTGGTGTAGATCTGTGCCCAGGATCCAAACCCTCGAACCCAGGCCGTCGAAGTGGAGCATGCCGAATTAAACCACTATGCCATGGGCCGGCCCCAATCGTGAACTTTTTTTAAAGTTCACAAGCTCAGGTGCCTCCCTAGTGATTTTGATAAGCACCTGTGGATGAGAACTAGTGCTGTAGGTTAAATGTAGAGCACTACTGTTCTTTAGATGGAGTTGTGACCCCACCTGTACAATTTTACAGCTCATCCTTCATAAGCATTGAGCAAGAGATCAACTTCTCCCTTTTATTAGAAGCAGCATACACAAGAACACAGCAAAACCTAACCTACATGTGCACAAATTAAGATAATCAGTAATACAATTTGTATAGCCTCTGACCTAATATGACCTAATTCACTTGTTCTCAAGTTTAACTTGGGGAGCTGTAAAAAATGATAATATAAAGGTCCCACACGGAGAGATTCTGATGTAATTGGTCACTGTGGCCTGTGCATCACTACCCTTGATTCTAAGATGCAGCAGAGCTTGGAACCACTAACCTAGTTAACTTCTGGGCCTCAGTTCTTCATCCAGAAAAATGAATGATTATTTTTAAGAATATAAATACATATATAAAATATTGGAGTTTATATAGTTGGATAATACTGTTTAATATTTACTTTTTTGTTTAAAAATAATAAAATTGTATAAATAGCTAAAACAAAGGAGTACATTTTTTCCTTAGAATTACAGTCAAATCCTTTCCCGTCATTTCAGCCAACATACCGAGATTCATTCAGTCAGTCCCAAAGCCACGTGTATTGTTTCAGATGGAATAGAATTAGGAACTGGCTTCCTTTTCTCCTCTTACTGACTATCGGGACAACCTACCACCTGCCCAGTGGCCTAGGATATTTTGAATATGTTCATGAACAATTATGCTGAGAATAAAGGAATAATCTTGATAGAACCCATGACTCCACCAGAGTTGTGGTTTCCATTTCCAGGCCAAGCCGTAGCACTGGGCCTGCCTTGGAGAGTGAGAGACATCCCTCCATTCTTACCCATCGACGGTTGAAAATACAGGCTTTCAATATGAGTAAAAACTTATTTTTTTTTCATAAAGGCCTTTTACAATTTCATAACTAGAGAATAATGAAAACCAAAATATTGAAAAGAATTTTTTAATTTGCTTTAGAACATTTATATGAAATTTGAAACTTACAGTAAATTTTAACATGTTGTCATTTACTTTTGTTTATATTGTGCTATGTTTATTTTCAAAGTTCTGTGTAGAATTTCTAAAATGTTTCATTTTCCTAATTATAAACCAAAAAAACTGGAGCTTCTAAAATTCAAAATCAATAGACTTTAATGTACCAAATTGGTTTACCTTACACACCTTTACTTTGTTATTTGACAAACATTTAATTGTTGAAATTGGAAAGTGAACATTATTATTTAGTATTAGACACCATTTTTAGAATCAAGCATATGAAATTCTTAACACTTGTATTCCCCCCCAATTCGAAAGCACTTACAGAGTTTCTGCTTTATGCAGCGCAGTACACTTGCTGTACAAAAATTCTCATACAAAAATGAGAGCCTGTCCCTGCTTTCCAGAAATTCACAGTAAGAGGAAAACAGCCACACAGGAAGAACTGAGCTCCAAGGCAAACTGGTAAGCACAATACTGAGGCACTCGACACTGGGAGTACTAGAGAGAAGTTTCATTCTGAGTGCGAGATGGTGGAACACTATGGAAGTAGCACTGAATCTGAGTTCTGAACATAAACTTTTATATGCAAAGTTATGAGGAAGGAGTTAGAATGTGACCCGGCATTCCAACTCTTAGGTGTACACCCAAGAGAAATGGAAATAATATGTCCACATAAAACTTGTACACGAATATTCATAGTAGCATTGTTCATATTAGCAGGAAAGCAGAAACAACCCAAATGTCCATAAACTGAAGAAAAGATAAATAAAATGTGATATATCCACATAATTGAATATTATTTGGCAATAAAAAGGAATGAAGTACTGATCCCATGCTACAACATGGGTGAACCTTGAAAACATACTAAGTGAAAAAGACTACATGTTGTGTGATTCCATTTAAATGTCCCGAATGGGCATATCTGTAGAGACAGAAAGTAGATGAGTGGTTGCCTAGAGTTGGGGGAAGATGAGAATCACCGCTAATGCGCACAAGGTTTCTTTCCGGGGTGACAAAAATGTTTTAAAATTGATTGTGGTGATGGTTGCACAACTCTGAATATACTAAATGCCATTGAACTGTATACTTTACATGCGTGAATTGTATGGTATGTGAATTATATTTTGGTAAAGCTGATATTAAAAAAAAAAGTTGAAGGGAATTTCAAGTAGAAACCGTAGTAGAGAGCCATAGAGTGCAAAAGCCTCTTCAGGTAACACTGAGCAGACCTGTGTGGCTGGGACTTATTTGGGCAACAACCAATGTGGGTTGAGCCTCCAGAGGAGCACGGCCCTGCAACACCTTGACTTTAGCCCAGTGAAACTCATTTCAGACTTCTGGCCTCCAGAACTAAGAGAATAAATGTGTGTTTTAAGCCACCAAGTTTGTGGTAATTTGTTCCATCAGTCATAGGAAACTAATACAAGTCTCGATCAAATTAACTCCTAGAGAGCCACACATATTTGAGAGAGATTCTATTTGCCTCACAGTTTCACTTATGACACAGTCTTCAGTTAGTTAAGAGTTTAAGCCAATAGTGCGGCCACCATACATCTATCAATGGTAGTCCCTTCATCTGAGACCGTTCTGAAGAAATGCAAGACTGGAACAGGTCATACTCACAGATACAGAATCACAGACATTAAGAAGTGAATTGACGTTTGGATATAGAGTAAGTATCTAAATGGAGATGTCTGCCATGCTTTGATCCTTAGCCCTCTTTCCTCTATATAATCTCTCCCTTGGTAATCCCTGGATTCAAAGTTAAGCATCCAGGGTTACTTCCAGATACATACACATCACTTCTGTGTGTGACTCCAATCCATCCTCTCTCTCAAGTTCCCATCCTGCATTTCCTATGGTCTGCTCTACATCTTCATGTGAATATTCTGGCAGCACCTCAAACTCAGCATCTCCAAACGAGATCCAACATGCTACCTTCCAGATGTGCTCCGCCATGTTGACACACGTATGGTGGCCCCACTATTGGCTTAAATTCTAACTAACTAAAAACTGTGTTAATAGGTGAAAGTGTGAGGAAAAATCTCTCTCAAGTAAGTGTGGCTCTTCAGGGGTTAATTTGATAGAGACTTCTATTTCCTTTAACGGCATCCTACTCCTGTCACTCACCTTCAAACAAACCTGGAGGTAATCTCTGATGCTTACCTCTTCCTTAATCTTCACATTCAGTTAGTTCTCTTGGTTCTGTGCCCTCCTATTGTTCAGCCCTCTTAGCTTCTTGGCCTTCTGGCCTTTCAAATATAGTCTCCTCATGCTCCAACACATTCTAAACACACTGTTTCAAAGTACCGGTTTGGTCATACCCCCGCTTAAAAAACAAAAACCTCACTTGTCACCTTTGGAGGTTGCAAGGCTATCAACTCATTCTAAAGATTAATAAATTAAATATTTATCCCATCTTTCCCAATCAGCTTTAGAGAAAGTTCTTCTTTGTAGAAGAATCACAGATGATAAATTGTATAGGTTCGATAGAATCCAAAAATCACTATTTTGCAACCCCTAATGAAATAATGGATTCAGGCAATGGTCATCAATGGTTGCTAAAACCATTAGGTGAAAGATTGATAGGAAGCTTTACAGTAGATGACACCACCAGAAACCACCGATCAATTTTAACATCACCGAAAGTGGAACAACCAGACATCGTGTTCCTCATGATGTGATGCAAAAGAAAGTATACAGCATCACCTATGCAGTATTCTTGGAAAAAAATTTTTGAACCAGAATCAAATCAAGCTTCTAGTTCTAACTAGACACCAGGGGCATACCATCAGTCAAATCCTGAATGAAGGAAATTCTACAGGACATATGATCCAGTTAGCTTCCTTAAATGAATGGCAAGAGGAAAGAAATTAAAGACGGGTCAATGTTATAGAGTAAAACAGACATCAACTAAATGCAATGTTGGATCCTGATTTAAACAACAAGCAAAAAGATACTTTTGAAAGGTAAACTGAATACAGACTGACTATTATATGATAATTAAGGAAATCTTATTAATTTTGGTGAGTGACAATGATATCATGGTTTTGTTAAAACTAAAAAGGTCTTATTTGTTGGAGATACATTTTTAAGTATTTACAAGTAAAGTGATATAATGCCTGAAATTTGCTTTCAAATACGCCAGCAAAAGAAATTGAAAAAAACAAAGAGGGTAGATATAACAAGAAAAGCAGAATATTGATAGCTGTTGAAGTTGGGTAATGGGTAAATAGAGTTTCATTATTCTATTCTTTATTTGTGTATGTTTTAACATTAAAATTTATTAAAAGTAAATATGAATAACGATAAAATTATTTAATATTCCATAATGAAAAGTTAACATGCCAGGAAACTCACATTATGGTGAACGCTCAAGTGCAGAATGGATGTTGTGAGTTTATGCTGCTAGTGAATGCACTGGATAATCCAGTCTTGGAAAAGATCATATTTAGACTTTTAAACATTTCATCTCAGATACATTCATATCTGAGTGTGTGTGTGTATATGTGTGTTTATACATTTATGTGTGTATGTACACACACTCGTCTGACTTCATGGACACGCATCCTGTGCAGTTGAACAAGGCTTCATGTTCAAAAGTGCCCCATGCTTAATTTTTGGACAAAAGCTTCACATTTTCATTTTGCAAGGGGTCTCACAAATTATGTAGGTGGCCATACACACACATGTGTGTGCACTTATGTATATGTGAGTATGTATATACGCTAAATATATCTAATGTAAATAACATATGTGCTAAGCGTATATGTGTGTTACTATATATGTATTTATGTTAAATACGTGTATATTTAATGTAAATAAGATATGTGTGACTAGTGATCAAAATTTCCTTGAAGGTCTGTTTCTAGTGAAACTAGGTCAAAATAACTCTTTCAAAATCTGTGTGTTTTAATTAGCAAATAAGGTCCCTGGGCTTTGCCGCTCTGGTCCTCTGATTAAGAGGATACTTTTTATTTAGTATCCTTTTGAGGCTGAGAAAATATATACTCACAAATAAATAAAAGCTTCTAAGAGATGCTATATTTATTTCATAATAGTAAAAATATTAAAATGAGGGAAGGTAAAAACAAGGCTACATTCTCATTAATTTGCCACATTCATTAGTTTTTCTTTTGAATACAGTCTTATTCATTAAATCCACATAATATTGTTTTTTAAAAATGATTTCTCTCCACCCAGAAAAATTTCAAACCTACAGAAAAGTTCAAAGAATATTACAAGAAACACTTCTATTCTCTCCACCTAGATTTATCAATTATTCAATTGTTAACATTTTGCCATATTTGCTCTCTCTCTTCATTTTCACATTGATTTTTGTTGAACATTTGAAAGTTGCAAATATCATGACACTTCACCCCTAATATTTCTGCATGCATTGCCTAAGAACAAGACATTTTCCTGCATGACCACAATATCATTATCACACCTAGGAAAATTAACAACTATTCCATAATGTCATCTAATATGCAGTCCATATTCAAATGTTCTCAATTGTCCCAAAAATGTCTTTCATAGCTATTTGCTGGGTTTTTATCTTTTTTTGACTTTTTGAGAAGCAAAGTTAATTATCTTATAGAATGACATCATTCAGGATTTGTCTAATAATTTCATCATGATTAAATTCCAGTTAAAAACTTTGGGCAAGAAAACTAAATAGGTGATAGTGTATAACTCTTACAGCACATCAGGTGGGGCATAATGTTAGGTTGTCCCACCTTTGGTGATGCTAAATTTAATCATGTGGTTAGCGTGGTGACCACAAGATCTTTCCATTGTAAAGGTACTGCTTCCCTTTGTAACCGATACATCATCTGTGGGATTATATTTAAATCCTTGTGAAGACTCTGTTCCCCAACATCTTGTCAACCAACAGTTTTAGCATCCATTGATGAACCTTGCCTTAATCAAATACTGCATTGGGAGTTGAAAACCATATTAACTGCTCTTAGTAACACCTTTAAGAAACAGCCATAAGCCAAAAGTATTTTCTCTTACTGTGATTTTTCTTAGTCTAAATTTTGCTCATTTTAAAAACTGTAAAATTACTCAATTTTAGAATGGTAGTTGGTTGCTATAAAGTTTAAATTAACCCCCAGGTTCTTCTAAGATACAGCCCACATTATCTTCTGGCCTTCCCTACAGCAATTCAGGGAAACAGACTAGTATACCCATGTTCCTCAAATATATCTTTTCCAGAACTCATGCCATGCCCCTCGCCCAGACTGCCCATATAGTCTCCTCTCTCCTCACCTAAATCCCTCACATACTGGGAAGGCTCACTGGAGCCCTGTGCCATGATATCTCAATGGAAAGTGATCTCACCGTTCCTGATTGACTACTCTCTGTGCTTAACTACTGCCTTACAGCACAATTATCATCTTTATTTATTTATTTATTTTTCCCCCAAAGCCCCAGTAGATAGTTGTATGTCATAGCTGCACTTCCTTCTAGTTGCTGTATGTGGGACGTGGCCTCAGCATGGCTGGAGAAGCAGTGCGTCAGTGCGCGCCCGGTATCCGAACCCGGGCCGCCAGCAGCAGAGCGCGTGCACTTAACCACTAAGCCATGGGGCCGGCCCAACAGTTATCATATTTAAAGTGTTTGTTATAATAGATACAAAATGTATTTAAGATAAAAATAATAGCTATGCAGCAAACACTAGTAGACTCTATATCTAGTTTAAGAAAAAAAAGTTAACTGTTACCTATAAAGTCCACTTCCCCAACCATATACTCCCAACCCTCCTCAGAGAGAACCACTATCAGAATTTAATATTTCTCATTCCCTTCCTTCACTTTATTGTTTTACCACATCTGTTTGGACTCCTAAATATTATTTCATTTAGCACATCTGGAACTTTACATAAATGGAATCATTCTGTATTATGTCTTTTGTAACCTGCTTTGTTTGCTTAACATTATGTTCTTGAGAGATGTATCATGTTATTGCATTTAACTGTAAGTCATTCATTTTCACTGCTATATAGTATTCCAATGTGTGAATATAATACAATTTATGTACCCATTCTTCTTGTGATGGACATTAGGATTGTTTCCTGTTCTTTTAGCTGTTATAAACAGGGTTTCTATAAAAATTCTTGTATGCATGTATGTAGGAATGAAACTGATGACTTTGAGGGTATATACACCTTCAACTTTACTGATAATACCAAACTGTTTTCCAAAGTGACTGTATATCACTTATCTTTTTTTTTCAGTGAGGAACATTGGCCCTGAGCTAACATCTGTTGCCAATCTTCCTCTTTTTGCTTGAGGAAGATTGTTGCTGAGCTAACACTCATGCCAATCTTCCTCTATTTTGTATATGGGACGCTGCCACAGCATAGCTTAGATGAGTGGTGAGTAGGTCTGCACCAGGATCTGAACCCCGAACCCCAGGCTGCCGAAGAGGAGCATGCGAACTTAACCACTACACCACCGGGCTGGCCCCACACTTATCTTTTTGTCGGTACCATATTTCTCCAACTGGCTTGTCAGCTACCTAAGACAGGAAAAGATCCTACATTTTTTGGCCTAGAAACAATGGACATTTAACAAATAGTTATTAATTGATTGGTTTACTAATTGATATTAAAAAAATTTTTTGAGGGAATTTTTTTCTCATCTTCATGATAAGGAAATGAGCCAAGAATAAGTCAAATGTAAGAATGTTTTTGAAGTAAAAAAAATGCAAACCTTTCTGCAAATGTAGTAAAAAAAAATTAAGGAAAAAATGAAAATAGAAGGTAAATACCATCAATATTCCCTAGCAGATTTCAGACAGTTACAGGAAAATTGAAGATCAGAAGCAAGATACTTTCTTAGAAGGGTTCTAACATGATTTCCATTTCCTTGTCTCTGGACCATTCTTCCATTCCTCCAAAGTCCTCAATATTTCAGATGTCTTAGGTCGTTTCTTGGGATCTTTTGAGACTAATTTCTGTAGAAGAATTTTCTGTAATGATAGTAAGAGTCAACATTAAGAAATAAAACATTGAAATAAATAAAATTCTGATTATTTTCAAGTGCTTACTTCTCTCTTATCAAATACATCTGAGAAGTTGCCAGCCTTTACATCTTCCAAAATCTGAAAATAAAACATATATACATATATAGTCGTTAGGAAATTATTCACTTGGGAAGACAAACAAACTCAGGAAGCACTAAAAGCTGGAGATACCCTAAATCTAGGATATTTCCAGATCTTTGGAAAGTCTCATTACCAAGAAGCAAGCAGGACTCCCCTCCCCCACCTCATGCCATCTAATAACCATCTTTAACATTACAACATGGTGAAGTCTTAAAAGCATCATATGCATTATTTCCCTTCATCCTTTTTGGAACCCTATGTGATAGGTATTTTCATTATCCCTTTTTTACAGAAGAGAAGGCTGTTGACTCCAGGCAAGTCCCCTTTACTGAGCTTCAGACTAGGATATCTAGTCGCCTAATGCCTTTACTGGCTCCCAATTGCCTCCACAAGAAAGTCCGTATTCTTGCCTTAATTGAGTGCCAACATGTCTTTCCAGTGCCATCAATCACCACTTTCCTGTAACTTATATACTCCAACAAAAACGACACTGCCTGCTGTCTCCAAACACTCTGCACATGCCTGTCTCTATGCTGGAATTACCTTCTTTCCATTTTGGACTATTAGAAGCCAACCATCCTCCAGATCCAGCTTAAATGCCTCCATGATACCTAAATCCCTACAGCTGGAAAGAATCTCCCTCCTAGCTGCTTCCATAAGACTTCAGGCTTTCTCACAAGACACTTATAGAATTTTCTTATATTATCTTCCCTTCTAGAATATAAGCTCCTTGAGAACAAGGCTTATGTGTTTTTATAACCCTAGTAGGACTTAGCACAGTGTCTTACGCAAAGCAATCACTACAATTTTACTGACTGACTCGAATAGGAAGAAACAGCTATATTTTTATGACATGTACACACCTTCCAAAGAGGACCAACGCTTTTGGTCTTTAACAAAATGTTTTGGTTGCCCAAACATGATCCATATTTCATTTGCATTCCACACTATTACGTTCAAGCCCATGCCCACAGGAGTGCAATAACCGTCTGCAGAAGCACTCTGAAGATGACGGCCAATGGTTTTTATTGCTTACCTCTTTCTGTGAGATTATTTACCTTAAATGTTTCCGAAGTAGTAGGACATATGTGAAGAAGCTCTGCAAGAATTAACCCCAAAGCATAAATGTCCACTTCATTTCCATATTCTTCTAAAGAAATCTAAAGAGATCAAAATATATTTATATCTGTTATTCACCTAATATAAACATCCATGCCTTCTGAAGCCAAAGAAGGTAATTTGACCAAAATATTTTCTTATCATACAACAATGTATACTTGCTAGCTAGATCTGTGGAGTCTGACTGCCCAGGTTCAAATCTCTGTCACTAAATAACTGAAACACCTGTGTAAATTAACCGTCAATGTGGGAATAATCTTAATCATAAAATGAGGATAACAATACTTTCAACCTCAGAGGTTGTGGGGTTAAATGAGATGCAGCTGGTGAAGCAGTTAAACTAGTTCCCATTAAGTGACTTGCATGCAAATGTTCATAGAAGATTAGATTTATTCATAGTATTCCATAACTGGAAGCAATCCAAATGTCTATCAACAGGAGAATGGATGAACAAAGGGTGGTATATTCATACAATGGAAGAGTACTCAGCAATAAAAAGGAATAATCTGCTGGCATAAGCAACAACTCAAGGTTCTCCAACAGACATTACTTTGAGTGAAATAATCAAATACAAAAGAGTATATGCTGCATGATTCCATTCATATGAAGCTCAAGAACAGGGAAAACTAAACTATTTTCTTCAGAAAATCAGAGCACTGGCTGCTTTTGGGCAAGGACTCACTGGAAAGGGCCTGAGGGAATTTTCTTGGGTGAGGAAAATGTTCTACATTTTCACAGGCTTGTGGGTTTCACAGATACATACCTTTGTCAAAGCTAAAAATGTACATTTAAGATTTGTGCATTTTATGGTGTACAAATTAATCCTTAATAAAATGTTTTTCAATTAAAAAATCACTAAAAAAATGAAAAGCACAAGATGAACGATTTTTTAAAAAATATTCTTAGAGTGACCATATAGGATGCAGGAGTAGTTAATAAAGTGGGAGTTAAAGGGAGCCATTAGCCACCTAGTGTCTTCCACTTTCACACTCCACAAAAAACTTAAATTACGTTTTTATGCCAAATGGTCCCCAAAGTGAAGAAGAGGTCAGTCCCTCTCCATTCTAGACTCTCAAACCATCAAAAGATGAAAAGTAGACAATAAGCAATCAACCAAAAAAATTAAAACTATTAAAGTAATGAGTCTATCTATAAGACAAACATGGACAAATCAATAGCTGTACAACCATGCTCATGGCAGCATTATTCACAACAGCCAAAAGGTAGAAGCAACCCAAGTGTCCATCAATGGAAGAATAGATAAACAAAGTGTGGTGTATCCATACAATGGAATATTATCTAGCCTTACAAAAAAAAAAGGAAATTCTGACACATGCTATAACATGGATGAACCTTGAGGACATCATGCTAAGTGAAATAAGCCAGTCACAAAAGGACAAATACTGTATGATTCCACTTATATGAGGTACTTAGAGCAGTCAAATTCATAGAGATAGAAAGTGGAATGGTGGTTGCCAGGAGCCAGAGGGAGAAGGCAATGGGGAGCTGTTCAATGGGTCCAGAGTTTCAGTTTTACAAGATGAAAAGAGTCTGTGGATGGGTGGTGGTGATGGTAGCACAACAACATGAATGTACTTAATGCCACTAAACTGTACACTTAAAAATGGTTAAGATGATAAATTTTATATTATGTGTATTTTACTACAATTATAAATAAATACAGTCATGCGTGACTTAACGATGGTGATACATTCTGAGAAATGTGTCGTTAGGCTATTTCATTCTTGTGCGAACATCACAGAGTATACTTACACAAACCTAGATGGTATAGCCTACTATACACTTAGGCTATATGGTACTAATTTTATGGGACCACTGTTGTATATGTGGTCTGTCGTTGACCAAACCATTGTTATGTGGCACATAACTGTAAATATATTTTAAAAATAAACAGTCTCACTAATAACCAATTAGATACAAGGAGTCCCATTTTAATAGCAAAACACTATAGTACATATTCAGGAAAAAAATTTAAAAATACGTACCAATATGAAAAGTAATTCAAGTTAGACTAAAGTATTAGCAAAAACACAAAATACATTTATAATCTTGTGGTAGGAACAGCCTCCAAAATAAAAATGAGAAACCCAGTAGCCATAAAGAAAATATTGATAAATGTGACAACTTAAAAGCTTCTATGGGGCTGGCCCAGTGGCGTAGCGATTAGGTTCGTGCACTCCGCTTCAGCGGCCCAGGGTTCACCGGTTCAGATCCCGGGTGCAGCCCTACACACTGCTCATCAAGCCATGCTGAGGCAGCACCCCACACAGAGCAACTACGACATACAACTATCTATTGGGGCTTTGGGGAGATAAAAGGAAAAAAGGAGGAAGACTCGCAACAGATGTTAGTTCAGGGCCAATCTTCCTCAAAAAAAAAAAAAAAGCTTCTATGCCACATTATAAACAAAGAAATAACAAGTAACAATCAAGGAGAAATTTTCTTTAATATTGTTAACAGACACAGAGTCAATACCCAAAATACATAAAGATTCCTTACAAATAAATTAGAAAAAGCTAATCTAATTAAGAAAAATAAAGAAAGGATATGAATAGAGAATATACAGAAAAGTTGTAAGTAAATACATGTAAAGATGGCCTACCTTCTAAAAATATGGAAAAAGCAAGCTAAAACAGCAAGATACTCTTCATTCATCACATTGGCCAAAACTGTAGTCTGACAGTACCCTAGTCTAACTGAGATGTGAGGGAGGAAGCAGCCTTCTACACTTTGGTAGGAGAGCATAGAAGAATCACTTCTTTTGGATGACAATTTGGCAGTATTTATCAAGTTTGAAAGGCACTTGTCATTTTATTGAATAATTTCACTTCAAGAAATTTATCATAGATTATCACTGAAATATATTTTTTTAGACTCAAAGATAAGGAAGAAGACACATGACATGTCTGCAAATGTACAAAGTTGGAAACAACCTAAATAAATACCCATCAATAAGGAAACAGCTAAAGAAATTATGCTACATTACAATACAGTTGCTAAGAAGAATGTGTCGAATCTATCCCCGCTGATGTGAAAAAATTATGATACACTGCTGAGTGGAAAAAATCAAATCACAGAAGAACATGATAATATCCTTGTAAAAACGTATTTATGTACATTTTTATGTAAAAAAGTCTGTGTAAATATATATTCGTGTTTGCACTAAATTTTACAACTCACAGAAAATGACTGAAAAAGGATAAACAACAAACTCTAGTGAGGAGAGCAGAAGTAAGGAAGGTTAAGGGGAATTTTCCATTTTTATTCTATATACTTCTGTACTGTTTTAATTTTATAAGAGGTGTCTATTATTTTTATAGTTTAAAAAAATGAATGAAGTGAAAAGCACATAGACAGAAAGGAAGGTGACCTCACCTGTTCTGGGCTCATGTATCGCCTAGTTCCCTTATTACTTGTCCGCTTGTCATCATTTTCCAGGGACGTTACAAGTCCAAAGTCTCCAATCTTTACGTGTTCTCTATCTACTAAAAATATGTTACTTGGCTACGGGAAACAAAACAATATTTAATTTATAAGTACCAATTTGACAGACTGTTATCACATATCCAAATCATATTTAGCAATGGCTATTTTGATATTTACTTATAAGGCATTTACCCTCACACAGGTAGCCCAGGGTTGGACACACCCTTGGTGGAAATGTTGCAAATATGAGTCCAGGATTTGATGAGGATTGAAGTAGACGCCCTTAACATCCCTTCCCATTTTGAGATTCTCAGAATGGGTCTCCTCCCAATAATGCTGGAGAACATCCTGTGCAGAATTTCTCCTGGGGGCTTACTTGATGTCAATTTCTCTAGGCTTCTGACAACTTCTTCACAAACATACCCGCTCTATCCTTGAAGGCACACCAACTTAACAGGAAGCTGATGACTAGCACCAAAGTATTTTTCCCATGTAATTCTTTAAGCAAATTGAAAAAAAAAAAAAAGGAAGAACAGAATAGAACAGAATGAGGGGTGTTCATCCTATTTCATGGCTTTGTAGAAGGTATTGACCAATATTCTAAAGACCGTGAAAACAGGAAGGTTGGTGATGAGGAAATTAATATTTTGCCATTCTTGAAAAGGCTAGACTTTCAGTACAATGCAGAGCTTAGTCATTCACACATGGACTCCATGAGATAATACTTATGAGACAGCCTAGTAAAGGAACTGAGAGGGAAGAGACCATTAGCCCAGGAAAGCTGAAAGAGGAGCTTCCAAGAAACCAGCCTGAGGAGGCCCACACAGAAATTAGCAGTTAGGTTAGAACAATTACTACTGAGATTGGAACCTAATGCCGATGACACAAATGGAAAGCTGTAGATGTGTGTGGGGTGGGTGTGGAGAAAAATTCACCTATGCCACATTCAAGTTACAATGTAGGAATATGATGGGTTTGCAAGTGCAACTGCTAGTCCCACACAAGGCTGTAACCTGACTCAGAGAAACAAGAGGTTGCATTTACAATGCTGTCTAAATATATAAGCTAGATGAGACCATCTAATAAAAATTGCTTGCTTATAGTTCATTAAAAAGAAAAAAAACAATAATGCTGCATTTTGTCTAATCAGTTATGGTATAATTAGGCAAAATGTTGGGTTGTAGAGCATAAAAAAAGTGCAAACTTTATATATGAGGTACAGCAACAAGGGCTGGTGTTCAGACAGTGGCTGACCAAGGAGCCTGAGCCTATTACGAGACTGAACCTCCTCAGACAGTAAGACCTCACTCCAGAAGCCTCTACGTCCCTCGCCAGTCTTTGGCCTCGCTCTTAACATTCTGACAGAAAGCAGTAAACACTGGTAGACTTTATACAATAGGGGCTTCCTTGAGTAAAGATCATTCTCTGGCAAAGCCACCTGCAGCGGGTCTTTTGTGAAGCATCACAAAAAAAAGCGCATCCTTTCATTTGCATCTTCTCTCAGGTGTTAGAAAGCAGCAACTGTAGCAGTGAGGCCATAGAAGTTGCAGAAGGTGATGGGCCGGCCCTGCGGCTTGGTGGTTAAGTGCGCGCGCTGCGATGCTGGTGGCCCGGGTTCGGATCCCGGGTGCGCATCGAGGCACCACTTCTCCGTTCATCCTGAGGCCGAGTCCCGCATGCAGCAACTAGAAGGATGTGCAGCTACGACACACAACTATCCACTGGGGCTTTGGGGGGAAAAATAAAATAAATAAAATCTTTAAAAAAAAAAAAAAAAGTTGCAGAAGGTGAAAGAAGCCACTGTATTCAAGTCTGACTGCAGACATAGAGTGAACACTGTCTGCCAACAGACACAAGAGAAGATCACTCCATGTCACGAGGTACAAGCAGTACAGACACAGGAGAGACGTGGCGATGATGTGGCGGAAGAAAGGGGAATCCATTCAGCACCTGTCAGAATTGCACTAATTCACCCTGAGGAGGGCCTGGGGGTTAAGACCCAAACTTCTGTATTTATTTGCAAATTACCGTATAAACAGATAATTGTGTTTAGTTTCTTATTTAACTCTATATATGATTTATTTCAAAGTGAAGGTATAGCCATTCTAAATGTATCCTTTTGAACATAGTCCTTACAACGTTCCAACTTCAAAGAATACCTTCTGATATTCTTAGATATTGGAACTAGGAGGACTCTAACATGAAGGCATCAGGCATCCAGCTCCCAGGTAGGCCAAGGACACAATACATTTTAAGGGCCACTTACTCCTACCTAGGCCCAACAAACAACTGTTTACATGGGCGCTTATTTTTCTCAAGAAACTTTTTGCTTCGTTCCTCATTCCTGGCTGTTTTAGACAGGCAGGGTAAGCAGACAGCCAAGATCCATACAGACAACGTGCTTCTGACTGATCCAGAGTGATCAGGAAAGGCTACATAAAGGAATTGGGACCAAAGGGGACAGGCAGAAGAGTGTTCCATGCAAGAACATGAGCAAAGGGTCAGGGAGAGGATTCAGCATGGCGAGTTTGCGAAGAGAGCAGGCAAATCACAGGTAATCGAGTGCGGAGGAGAGACTGTGAAAAGCTGCTCTGTCTCTTCTTTCATTTTGATGACAAGGAAAAGGGAGAAAACTGCTCATTTAGACCATGAAAGAAGCTAGGAAGCCAGAAGAAAATGAAAATATGAAGGTATGCTACATGTTCCAAGGTTGGGATTACTGCAATTTACAATTATGGGACAGAGATGTCTAACCAAATACCAAGAAAATTCTAGACTCTGGACCCAGTAGCTGTGACCGTCCGTAAGAATGATGACTGAGCAATTAGGAAAACCATGTTCCCAAAGCCATAGTCACCAGAGTCCCTTCTGCCTCTCAGACAAGCCTGAGTAGCAGGAGAGGCAGGGTCAGAGCAGCCAGTTGGCTACATCAGCCACAATAGTTATTTGCACAGAAATGCTCAATATACTAAAGCTATGAGAGTTTGCAACTGGGGTGTGACTATCAGCCAAATAGGACCAGCAGTGAATGAGCTCCTTCCTATAGAGCTCCATGTCTCGATAAGTTTACTTGCCCTGGAGATCTTCTGAGTGGTTCTATGGACTGGTATTTGGGGCAAGTTCTAGATCCATTCTAACCTTAGTGGGTCAGAGATATTATTTCCTCATAACTGTCAATCAATTCTAAAACTAGAGAAGATAGATTTTAAAATGACTAAATCACATTTATCACTTCCTAACAAAGTACATTTTTCACTTACCTTAAGGTCTCTATGAATTAACTGTTGTGAATGTATATAATCTACTCCTGTTGTTATTTGTTCAAATAATTTCAAAGACAAACATTTATCTGGTTTATTGTTTCTTCTGTCGTCAATCCATCGCTCCAACGTCCCTTTATCACAAAATTCCATCTGGATGAAAAGGCACCTCGTCGTTGATCTGGGTATAAAATTCACAGTATGCTGAAGTAGCAATAAAAATAAATTTCTAAAAAATACATTTCTTTTTTTTAATTATACCTTCTCTTAAGAATTCCCAAACATGTCTCAAAACAGAAATATAAATATAATAAATTTGAATCAAAATACAATAAATACAATAAATTTGAATATAAAATACAAATTTCAATCATAAGTTCCCAGATGTCCAGAGTTTTATTTGTCTAGCTAATCTATGGCGTATGAGCCTGTCCATTCTTTAATGCTGAAGGTCCCTGATCACCTTTGCTAACAGACAGGAATAGGAGAATATAATGGAATTGCAGAAAATTAAATTTCATTTTTACATAAAGTAATTTTGAAATACTTTAATTCACCATGGATCTACTGAGGATCTATTTTGTGAAAGTCACACAACAGGCAACTATTGATGAGAAAATGAGTTACACATTCCTTGCTGTCATGGAAATTATAATTTATTAGGAGAGAGGTAAAGGAAACAAAACCCTAAGACAAGAGTACAATAGGTACTCTAAGAGAAGTGCCAACACACTGCTATGAGATATAACTGGGAGGACTGATTTTGCTAACCATGTTTTATTTTTTTTTTCTGAACTAAGTTGGCCTCAATATTAGTTGATATTCTTTCAACATATGTTGGCTAGAAAACAGAAAGAGGTAGCCAAGAATTTGTTGAAAGATGAAGAAGTCCTGTATGTCAATGGTCAATAACTCTTCCAACTGATGATCAAGTTCTCAATTACATGGGGTGGAGATGGGGCCGGAGTCAGGAGATGATGAATGAACAGGCCCTCAAGGGCCTCTGGATTTCAGTGAGGACCATCCCCAAGAAATGCTGAGTGATATTCAAACGGAGATGCCAGCTCCTTAGCACCCTCCAGTCCTTTGGAAGCGGCATGCCAGAGACAAAACTTGAGTGAGTAAAGTGGGGTACCCCATCACAGTTCATGGTCTTAAAATTATTTTCACTGCCCACCACCCCACCATAAGCAGTGTAGTTGCATTGGAAAGAGACCCCCTTGACTGCACCCCACCAATCAGGGGCCTGTGAGTGAGACAGAGAAGTGCTGGCAACTGAGGAGGAAACCTCCAGTTGTAGCACCTACGACATGTTCAAAGTTTCTTCACATGACTGCATTTACAGCCTAGACTGAACTCGGGCCACATGAGCAAGCCCATACATTAAACAATGGAGTCAGGAAAGCAGCTGAGGACAATAAAAAAGTTCTTTTAAGGCAAGTTTGGAGCAAGGAGAGGAAGAAGAAAAAGATTATTCATTGTCTCCTTACCTGCAGAATGGAGATATAACAGTGTCTCAGTGTTTGTGGTGGTGATTAATAAATATAATAATTAATGGGCTTATCTGGCGGCCCCCACACAGTAAATGACAGTTTCCTCCATCCCATTATGGCTATGAGCATTTCTTTTTAGTTACCTTGAAGGATTTATGCTTTCCTCAGGATCATAATCAGTCCCATCCCAACAGCTAGAGTAGTGAACAATATTTGGATGACTCAGCGTAGCCAAAGCTTTTACTTCACGCTCCGCCTTCCTAGTTAAAAGAAACAGGGAGCATAAACAGTGTCAGGACACTTCCCTGATAACAACACAAACCACCTCAAGCAATAGATGACAACGATCTGCACTCCCTTATTAAACAGTCACTATGGTTCCCACACCCGGGGTTTTAGAATGGAAACCAGGAGCACTCATAAGGAAAAAGCGACCATACAGAAAAAACATGGCTGTTCTCACTCTCAACATAAAAGAAAAAGTAGTGACTTAACTAATTCCAAATATCAGATAATTTGTTTTTGTTTTTTTTGTGAGGAAGATCAGCCCTGAGCTACCATCCATGCCAATCCTCCCCTTTTCGCTGAGGAAGACTGGGCCTGGGCTAACGTCTGTGCCTATCTTCCTCCACTTTATATGGGACGCCGCCACAGCATGGCCTGACAAGCGGTGCGTTGGTGCGCGCCCGGGATCTGAACCCAGGCCGCCAGCAGCAGAGCGCGCACACTTAATCGCTATGCCACGGGGCCGGGCCCCCAAACATCAGACAATTTAAAAGTCGTTTGTAGTAGTCCTTGAAATGCCAGTGATGTAATTCTTGGTAGCTAATTCACATGTTTTGTCTAAACTTGTGTTAAAATCACTTTGGATTTTATAAGCAAACCCCATTTGGGCAGCAAGGATAGGTAACCCGGGTAGTATGAATAACCTAATTCAGAATTTTCAATGTGTGGCAAAAATACACAAAAGGGATAATCTATGCAGGGAAACAGACTTTGCTGCACACGTGGGAGCTTTACAGGGACGTGTAGTCAAGAGCTAAGACAATTCTATGCTAAATGGAGTAAATAAATTGGAGCTTTCAAGGATGAGAAAGAATAAGAAAACATTTTACAACTTCCTTTTTTAATTTGAAAAGTTCTATAACTATATAACATAAAATTGGTGAAAATAAATTTTTCATACATAGACAATCCTAACACAGTTATTATTTTAGATTATTTCTTATAGTCTTTCTTCATATATATTTTTATATATTTGTAATTATAGTATTTAATTTTTATCCTATTTTTTCCACATAACATGTTATCTTTACAATTTTCCTTGCTGTTACACAATCTGTATAACCATCATGTATAAACTTTTTAATGTAAGATTTCAAAAGTATGAAAACGAAGAGCATATAGTATAATGAACCCCTACCTAGTCATCACTGTTTCATCAGAGGAAACAGTCATTAACTCCTGTCCAATCTTGCTTCCTCTATTCTTTTACCCACTTCCTCATCTTGCCCTGGATTATCTTCCCCTGGATTATTCTGAAGCAATTCCAACATCACATCATTTCATTTGTAAATATTTTCAGTATGTACCCTTAATGACTGCAAAATAACCATTGATCAGGAGACAGAACAAAACAGACAATCTATTCTTGGACATTTTGTTTGTTCTAATTTTTCACTGTTATAAATGACACTGTGATTTATATCTTCTTGTATAATTTTTTCCATCATTTGGATATATCTTTAGAATAGGTTCCCAGACAGGAAACCCATGGCTCAAAGTACATAAACATTTTTATGGCTCTAGATTAATATTTCCAAGCATATTTTTAACTGTGTTGTACCAATTTATGAAACCACTAGAAATGTCCAAGATACTGCACCCTTATCATCGTCAAGTATTACCATTAAATAAAGAATGCTATCGAATGGAAGGAACAGTACTTCATTCCTGTTAAGCAAAACAATGAAGAAGGAAAAAGCCTTCTTTTGATGCTGAGTAGGCATGAGTGTATTTCAACTACAAGGTAGTGTCCATGGGACAGAAAGTGGGTTGGTTTGACAGAGATGAAGAGCACCTAAGACTCCATGCCTGCCTCTCCTTTGCTCTTGCTCATTTTCCTTAGCCCATATCCCTTTTCCATCTCCTTCTCTAGTCCTTGAGGTATGTCTGGCCAAGTTCCACATAGTAACAACTGCCAGAAATCAACAAGCAAGATTGATGAGCTGGTGAACATGTGATTTAAGATCTCCTTACTATGTGCTTTCTTTGCTGAAGGAGTTCTGTTATCCAGTAAGGTGGGGGGTGGGCAGATAATACATAAAATAAACATGGAAAGCAATGGGTTACAACGGGAACACAGTAGACTGGCATTCTAGAGGATGAGTTCTAAATCTCCACCTTGTTACCACAGTAGATAGCGTCCAAAGATGGTCATCATTAATTCCTTCCCTCCCCATACACACAGCCATTCCTCAGATTAAGAGGTAGAGCTTATTTGCCCTCCCCTTGAATCTGAGCTGGCCTTAGTGACTTTTTTAACCAACATCATGCAGAGAAAGTGACATTCTGGAACTTCTGACACTAGGTCAAAAGTAGCCTTTGCCGCTCCCTCCTGGTCTCTTGAATGACTTGCTCTGAGGACAATCTTTCTTGGAATCCAGCCACTAAGTTGTTAGAAGCCCAGGCCACGTAGAGAGGCCATGTGGAGGCGCTTTGTTAAACAGTCGCAGCTGAACTTCCAGCCCGCGGCCAGCATCAACTGCTAGCCATGTGAGCGAGCCATCTTGGATGTCCAGCCTAGTCAAGCTTTCAGATGACTCCTGACTGCAAATGCATGAGACACCCTAAGTAAGAATGGCCCAGATGAGCACAATCAACTCACAGGACCGATGAGAGATAATAATAACTTGTTGTTTTTAAGCCACTACATTTTGGAGTGGTGTTTTATGCAACAATAGACAAGCAGAACAATTACCAACGAGCTTTTTACCTTAGACATATCAGTTCCTATCTTTGGATCTCAGTCTCCTCATCTGTAAAATAAGGAGATGAGACTAGAAAATCTCAAAGGCCACCTTAAGCCAAATGATTCTATAACTTCAGTTTTCACCAAGACAGCCTCAAAAGGATGATCAATGGTATATCCATTTTTTAATTGAAATAACCATAGTAAAGTGAAATCATTTCAGCATAAGCCAAGCTCCTGATGGTAGCATGACATTTTTAAGGAGGACTAGAAAAAGTTAATAATACACTAATGAGGAAGAGATACATAAGAAAGAACAGTGCAGATACAACACACCTTCTCATTCGAAAAAATAAAACATTTACCACTTACTTGCTGTTATATTTAACACGTTTAACAACATAAGTCTTCCCATCAAGTTTGTGTTTTGCTTTGAAAACCTGGCCAAATCCACCTGAGCCAATCTCTTCTATATCTGTAAAATCCTTGGTAAACCTTAAAAGATAAAGGCCACTGTTATTCTGAGGTTCAGTGCTCGCCACCCCCCCACCGCCACCCTTCCACTGTCCCTTAATGTCACTGGTGAAACGTGCTGTATAACAAACACAACTCTCCCCTTCTGAATGAGAAGGTTCACTTCACAGAAACTCCCGAATCACCAAGGACAGTTTCTCCCCCTCTTCCTTCCAACATAACAGATCATCCCTGGGAGTCACAGTGAACTCCAGTCTGTACAAAAGCCATGATAAAGAATCTTATCACAAGTATATAAGACTTTAGAAAGAAGCACCATATTGTGTTCCATAGATACCACCTAGCTGTTATAAGAGAAAGGAGCATGTGCTCTGAGCCTGCTTAGGGTTGGAACGACCTGGTTTTCCCCTCTCCCTCATGGCCCACAAGCCATCATTAAGCCCCGCCAATTCTACTTCCAAAACATATCATGGGTACGTGCCCCCTTTTCCCATCTCCATCTTCACACCAGCCCAGGCTTCCATCAGACGCCTGCAGTACCTTGCTAACTAGACACTCCACCTCCTCTCCTTCCTCCGCTCCAATCCATGATCCACACAGCAACCAGTGTGAAAAAAACTTAGTCTGATCATGTCTCTCTATTGCCTAAACCCTCCACTAGCCTACCTTTGCATTCAGCAAAAAGCCGCAAGCCCTTACATGGCCTACAGGGCCATATGATTCGGCCCCTTCCTCCCTCTCCAGCTTATCCCACACACTGTGCTGCTGCTCACTGCACTCCAAGCACACGGCCTTCTCTCTGCTCCTTGAACATTCACATCACCCTCCCCACTTTCACCTTCCCACATGCTTTTCTTCTGCATTTTCCACAGAGCCTCTTCACCTCCCTGTGTTAACTCATCCTTCAGGCCTCCCCACAAACGTGACCCCAGAGAAAGCCTTGCCTCACCCTCACTCTAAATCCAAGGGTCTCGTTTTCGTTTCTTACCACATCACGGCTTTTCCTTCTGCCCTTTGACCATAGTTTGTAATTAAAGATTTTTTCATGTAATCCCCACAAAACTCTATGAGGGCAGCAGCTGTTTCTATTTGTTCCTAGAAAAAAATCCAACGCCCAGCACAGTGCCAGGTACCTAATATATTAGGTTCCTCTTAAATAGTTAATTCTTTATTGGTTTTTTTAAACTTATATTCAATGTCCCCCTGTTGCAAATAGGCCTCCTTTGTTTTAGATATTTTATTTAAACATGACCTACCAAGAGAGGAGCCCTTTTTCAAAGTGAAAACTGGTACGGAGCTGGAGAAAAATGGAAAACAGATTCAAGTGGATCTATTCTGATTCCTGCAGGGGTACTTTTTTCGAAAAAAAAATAACTAGTTCATAGAAATACTTGCTTTCAATATTAAAAACTTCCAAAGACGTCAGAGAAATCCACAGAAGCCTCAGAAAGATCTATGGTACCACATTCCATTCAGATTCGTCTAAACTTGACTTCTCCAAGAGACATAATCCTTTGTGGGCTTGACTGTGCTGAAACAATTAAACTATTCAGGTAGAAATATGAATTTAACCTGCCTGATGAACAACAGTCCCTTAAGAAACTTTTGTTGAATGAGCAAACATATTTTTAAACAAATTCTTTTTTACAGTTTTCCCTCTTACCTGTCATTCACAGTATACTCATTTTCTTCTTTCACAGGAGAGTTAAATGTAGGTGCCAAACTTCTAAAAGTAAAGAGAAGAATGTAAAACTCAAATAAAACTGAAATCAAGACAGCCCTGCTGGTCTAGTGGTTAAGATTTGGTGCTCTCACCACCACGGCCTGGGGTTCATGGCGGCAGCTCACATAGAGAACTAAAATTAACAGCTTGGATACACAACCATGTACTGAAGCTTAAAAAAAAAAACTGAAATCGAATATAACTTGTTTAGAATAGATTTTATGCCATGCACTAGGCTTTTTATATTTTGAGTCAACTATTAGAATAATAGGGTAGCAACTGTTAACCTTTTTCTTTATAAACAATATACTTATGGCTCTGCTCTGTCCTCTAACAATTTTTCTTTTTTTTTTTTTTAAAGATTTTATTTATTTTATTTTTTCCCTCCAAAGCCCCAGTGGATAGTTGTATGTCGTAGCTGCACATCCTTCTAGTTGCTGTATGCGGGACTCGGCCTCAGGATGAACGGAGAAGTGGTGCCTCGATGCGCACCCGGGATCCGAACCCGGGCCACCAGCATCACAGCGCGCGCACTTAACCACCAAGCCACAGGGCCGGCCCTCTAACAATTTTTCATTCCTTTCCTGCTTCCTTTTTTTGCCTTAACACATTCATGGTTGGCGTACCACTAGCCTCTCCTTTTCTCCCACCAGGAAATACATCTCCTTGTACTCTCATTCTGGTCATTTTTCCTTTGTCCTTAATTCCTTACTGGCGGTAAGCCACCTGCAACGGGAAGTTCAAATGCTACCTAAAACTAAACACACCCAAATCCCAATCTTCCCCCTAAGCCCTCGATTCTTCAACTTCCTTAACCCCATGAGTGCCGTGATTCTTGTCTGCGTCTCATCCACAAGGAACAATCTTTAAATCCTTTCTCCTTTGTTCTTCTTCACCCAGCTACTGTAACTCTATTCCCTCAAGTTATGTCTACTCCTCCTGTAGTCTGTCTCACAAATTCTCTTCATCCCTCCTCACTGTCACTATAACCATGGCTGATGGCCTGATCATCTCACACACAGACCTCTCTTCTCTCCATCGAAACACCCACATCAAGAATCATCTTTCTTCCACACATCACCTACAGTTCAGAATATAATGGTGGCTCATAGTGGCTTCTGCTGCCATCTCACTCTCATTGCTGGCTATACTTACATCCTTGCTTTTCTCCTCAGTTAAAGAAATCAATTCACCACAATTTACATAACATTTGATCTTTTTTTTCTTATCCGAGTTATTACACCATCTCTACCCTACCTGCTAGTCTGCAAAATAATGTATTTCTCTTAAAAACACCTCTCCAAGCCTACTTCCTCTGTCAGCCTTGCCCAAAATAATGCCCTTACCCAATTACTCTAGCAACACCCCCAAAGGCCTTTATGTCCACATTGTAGTGTGTGCATACATTCAAAGATTTCTCTACATATTTAAAATTATTTGTTTGTAGATTTCAAATTTTTTGTGATGTGAACCATGCTTTCTACTTCTGAAACTCCACTCAAAAAGGTGTCCAATACTCTATAAATACTGTAGATTTAATAAATAAGTCTAACAAACTAAGTTTGAAATACGTTTGAATGGATTTTGAATTCATTTCAAAATATGTTCAATGCATAATGATACTCACCTTTTCGGCTTCCTGCGACTGTTCTATAACAAAAGAAAATGGAAAATCGTTTCAGATGATTAAAACAATTATCTGGCTTTTTTCTTGCTACCCTTCCTGCTGCATTTCTACATGGTTCTGTGACCACATTTCTTTCTCTATAAGATTAATAGCCTCATCAATCTGTGTACTCTCATCAAGCCCTGCTTCCCAGTTTACTTGGCTATATCAATGTTCTCATCTGTTATAGCAGCCAGATATGGCGGGAAGGACAAAAAAGGCATTTGTAGGGCATGTTCTGCAGAAGCACTGCTTCTCTGGGTATAGAATATGGCCTCCCTGGCAATCCTCTGTGCCAGCAGATCTCAACCAGGAGGTGTGCATCACAATCATCCACAGATGATTAAAGACACACACAGACAGCGTCCAGTTTAAAATCATTCCCCAAAGGTTTCTCATCTGATCACCAGTTAAAAACTGCCATGCTGATTTTTTTCATTTTTAGCACAAATTAATAACTTAATTTTAATATTTAGCAAAAAAGAGGAGTCTTCGCTCTCAAAAATTAATTTCACATAGCTTTTCTTCATTTATATTCACTTTTATTCTGGTAGGCTTTGTGAGGGGTTTTTTTTGGTGTGGTTTTTTTTTACCAATTAAAATATGTTGACACAGAGTGGAGAGCATCAGATCAAGATTTCTTGAGATCATATCTCCTGTCAGCCTCAGTATTGCATGATGAGTATGCTATGATTAATTTAGCCATTCTGTTAATGGGACTATATTTTTTCTAATCTCTTCCTATTACAAACTATATTGCAAAGAACATGGTTATACGTGCTTCTCTGTGCACACATCCAAGCCTTTCTCTAGTAGACATCCCTAGAAATGGAATTGATTGGCGGTACAGCATGCACATCCTCAACTTTACTACATATTGCCAAATTGTTCTCCAAAACAGTTGCACAGATTTATACTTCCACCAGCAGCGTACAAGAGCTATAATCGGAACGTAGCTGTGCCAACACTTAGTACTCTCAGACTCAAATTGTGCCAATCTGATGGGTTTGAAATGGTATCTGTTGTTTTGATTTGCATTTTCCTGATTACTAGTGAAGTTAAGCATCTTTTCATATATTTGTTGTCCATTTGGATATCTATTCCCTGAATAGTCTCTTCAGATCTTTTGTACATTTTTCTATTGAGTTGCTTGTCATTTTCTTATCGATTTGTTTGTAGTTCTTCATAAATAGGATACTTTTGTAACACTAATCATAGCCACAAAAATTATCTGACTTTTAAGTTTAGGTTTTATTTTAAGTTTACTTCTGATTTTTTAAAACAGAAGCAGAACTATATTAATGAACCTTTTAAGTACTGTACAGTTGGTAGAAGATAAGAAAGAAGAGCCTAAGAATATACGAAAACACAAAGGTGAGTAGGGAGAGAAAGACGGAATTAAAGAGCGGAAGAATTTTGCATGTGAGGAATGGGGGTTAATAAAGAAAAGAGAGAGTCAAAAGACTGTCAAATATTATTATTTAGTAAGAATGCCTGAGATAAAAATAACAGTTGGGGACTGGGGGTCATTTTTAAATGCAAAAACACAAAGAAAAATAAGATAAACCAGGAAGCTGAGAGACTAATACCATACCATAGAAAATGAAGAGGAATTGTTTAAACCATTACTGTTCCAATTTCCTTCTGACGCACTTGCTGAGTGGTCACTTTCAGATGGTGATTCAGAAGCACTAGAAGAAAAGGGGATGACTATTAGTTTATGAATTCTGTCTATTTTTCATTGATTAGTAATTTCTTTCTCTAAGTTCTCCTTAACCACGAAACATGTTCATAACACTTTGCTCTTTCAGGCAGCAATGTGAATCTGTTCAATGTCAGATGCGCTTGTCCATACTTACGACGTGCTTGTCATAGAAGAGCCTCTCCTGAAGTCACCGGACGCAGCAGAGAAAGAACCAGAGTACCTTGACTCAGCTTTCTGAAAGACAGAGGGCCCCATAGCAGGTTTAAGTGCAACTAAGTTACTCCTCCGCAGCGGCTCAGTCTCTGTGCGCTAACTACCTACCACATTTATTTCCCCACATTCACCAAATGCACAGCCATAAACAATCATGAGATTAACAGACAGCTTATAGGTGGGACACAGAATCAAGGAATCCTTCTGCTACGTGATTGGCTGTCATGGCATCATGTAAACAGAGTCAAACCTCAAATCAACTTCCGAGGGAATTTTAAAACAGAAAAATGAAATCCAAAGGCGGTACATACCATTGCGGTTTCTTCTGAGAGTATCTGCTCATAGGCCAGTTTAGCAGCTAAGTGCTTTGCCTCCTGTTTAGTAGAACCTACAGCAATAGGGTATTCTTTCCGTCCAATTTTGTATTTACAATGAAACCTAGGAGAAATGATGGAGAGTATTTACCCAAATACTAAAAAATAGTAAATCTAACTCATGGTTTGAAAAAAACCACATATTAACAAAAAGGCCTTAATACAACATAAATTTAACAGGTGGATTTATATTTCATATCGTGTATAATTTAATCAATAAAATGGCTCAGCAATTTGCCAGAATAACCAGGATTAGCCGACGGGTCAACTTGCATCTTCTAGGCAACTTCTACATCTTTGTTGCTTCATTGAAAGGTCTGGCACAAAGGCACTAAATGGTGATTTTTAAAAATTCCCCAAAGGTTAAAAGATATGGAGGTAGAGAAGGAAGAGAGAGATCCAGTGAATTTTTCAGAGATGCTCAAATGGGAAAGAAAAAGACAGTAGAGAAAGTGGGGCTTCTAGAAGAGAAACAATGAGAGTACAGATTTATAGATGAGTAAAGCATGGATTTTGCTCTAACTTTTCAGCATTTTCTGTCCCCTGCTTATGTGCATGAAAACCTAAGAAAATCCCCAAAGTGCAAAACTCCCATGCTGAAGTCCACACCTTCCTCATATCAGATGTAAGGACATTTGTGGTTAGGCAAGGATACTTAGACAATTATACAAAAACTATATTTAAGGTGGCAAAGCAATGGACATGGTAACATATGTCATGGAGTTATATAACTACAAAATTATTCTAGTATTTGCCATTGAGGGAAACACACCCAACCAGCGTGAATCTTCCCTGCTACACCCCAAAGGGAGAATTAGGAAGCTGGGCTGAGTGACTGGATCGATTCTACAGCTCCTATTTTTACCAGGCACCCCATAAATAGACTTCTGTCTTTTAGGTATCTAATGTTAGAGCGTTTACTCAAAGGAACCAAACAGGTGCGCTACAGAAAAACAAAATAGCCTCTTAATTTATTGAGATTAATCCACATAATTCAGTTTTGACTACAGATGGTCCCCAACTTAACAACGGTTCAACTTTACGGTGGTGCAAAAGCAAAACACAGTCAGTAGAAACCATACTACGAAATTTGTATTTTGATCTTTCCCAGGGCTAGCCACATGCAGTATGATACCCTCTTGTGATGTCGTGAGCCATGAGATCACTAGGGTAAGCAACCAACACACAACCATTCTGTGCCCAGACAACCACTCTGTTTTTCACTTTCAGCACAGTATTCAATAAATTACATGAGATATTCAACACTTCATTATAAAATAGGCTTTGTGTTAGATGATTTTGCCCAACTGTAGGCTAATGTAAGTGTTCTGAGCATGTTTAAGGTAGGCTAGGCTAAGCTATGATTGTAGGTAGGTTAGGTGTATTAAATGCATTTTTGACTTATGATATATTCATCTTACGATGGGTTTTTCAGGACATAATCCTATTGGAAATTGAGGAAGATCTGTATTTCATTCCAATGAATACTATCACATTTTTCTCTTCCTGGTTCTGGCCTAAACAAAAGCCATCCCAGTGAAAAGTAAAACATAAACAGCTGAGTGAATTCAGAGGGCAGTATCCTCAAGTGGTTGCTAGGACTATCTACCATCTAGATTTTTTTTTTTCTTCTTTCTCATTTAACTGATTGTTTGTAGCTGAAAAACAATCTCCCTCATGCTCATTTGCTTTCTGCTTTTTTCAGTTCTAATCCAATCTTTCTCCTCACTTCCAAAGTTTGAGCTCACTGGTGACGTTCCTGGAAACTCTGAAGCTCCAGTCTGTCCCTCTCATCATATCCCTCAAATTCTGGTATCCTCACAGTCTAGGGCGAAAACTCATTCCTTTTAATACACGGTACTTGCGTGGAAAGTGACATCATTTAATCAAATTTGAACAACAAACAGCTCTCTAATCTGACAACGGTGGAAACAGAGTCATTCTGCATGTGTGACAGAGCTGTTTGCACACAGCCACTGCCACTGTGACCTCCAGGATGGGAAATGTCCACATCCCACAAGCAGGGGCACCCCATAGTCTCTTAGGTTTCTTGCAGACTAAACCATTGAGATATACCTCAGAAATAAAGGATTACTCAGATTTGATCAATTATGGTATATCAAGTCTTCAGCAATTAATCATTTTAAAATTTTAATTATAAAGATGTCCAATTGCTTATAAGTCACATAAAACCTTTGGTGCAGAATGTACAAAAAAGGACAAATATTTCTGGAAAATTAGACACAAAAATAAGCACACTCTGCTACTTAGATACAATGAAACAGAAGGAAAAGACAAACTACATCTCACCTTTTGGGCCCAAACTCCCGTGATTCGTATTGTTCATAATTTAGAGGCAGTTGTGTCTTCTGGGCATGTGTATTAACAAGGCCTATGTAATTCATGGGAAGTTTTTCTGAATTATCTGTTGTCAGCAGTGGTAAAGAACTAACGCTCTATAAAGAAAAAAAGATCTTGTTTAGTATAGATGATAACAAAGATTTAACTCTTTATTTTGTCTAATAAAATTACCACATGAATAATTTCAAAGACAACTTAGATTTTACGTATTTTCCTACTATATTATCTTGGGTAAAAGTATAAGTATGTACTTTCCTCTACCAGAAAAAATTCACAAGAATAGATTTTAACAATAGGAAAGGAATCCCTCACTTTTTTAGTTTCATAAGGAAAAACAAAAGTCAGTTTTCTCGTTTATCCATATAAAATATTATAACACTTTCTAGCTTGCTTACCCTTTGTAAATCTCAAAAACTAAGATAACAAATATTGACATAAAGCCATATCCTGGATTACAACTTAATGGGAAAGATGAATATAATAGATATAATAGCATCATTCCTTTCATTGTTATCCACACCTCTTTTATTCTTTATCTGACAAAATCTTATCCAAAGTTTTTCTACTTTATTAATCTTGTCAAAGAACTAACTTTTGGTTTTATTGATTTTCTTTACTTTTTCATTTCCTTTTACATTAATTTCAGCCCTTATGGTTATTATTTTCTTTCTTCTGCTTTTTTGGGGGAAGGTATTCTGTTATTCTTTTTCTCACTTCTTGACTTGGTTTTCTGGCCCATTACCAATTTACAAATTTGTGATTTTGCCTGATTTATTTTTTTCAATTTTGGCTAGAAGGGTAAGCTCTTCAAGTAAAATTTTTCAGAATAGCATCTTGAAAGCTAAATTTTTCCAAACATTCAATATCTGAGAACGATCCTCTTTTGTCCCACACGTAAATGACTTCTTGTCTCATTTTACAGCTGCTGCTCCACTGTCCGCTGATTTTTAATGTTGCTGTGGACAGCAGGATACTTTTTTCATTTTAAATAATTTCCTTCTTCTGCCTAGACACTTGTTGGATGGGTTCTTCATCACTGGAGCTCAGTACTTTCTGAGGTTGCTCTTGGTGGTTCTGTATCTTTCCGTATCTGCTGAATTGTTTTAATCTGCATCCAGGTCTGTCTGTATTTCAGAAACATTTTCTACTGAAATCTCTTCAGATAGCTTTTTCTGTACTATTTACTCACTTCTCATCTTCAGGGATACAATTATATGTGTGTTGGTTCTTCATTATCTCCCTTTCTTATACATCATTCTCCTCACAATCATTTTCATCTCTGTCCTTTTCCACTGCACTCCCTCAATTAGGGGGAGGTATTCCTGCCAGAACCTGTCGGCTCATTTCTCACTGTTTCCTTCCCACGTTTGTTCAACTTTGGAGTGTGTCACTGCTGTTGACACACTGACTAGGTATTATCCAACTTTGCCCACTATTTCCTAGGTGTCATTCTCATCCAGGGTTCTACAGAAATGGAGATGGGAAAAGAGATGAAACTAAACTTCTGAATGTAAAGGAACCTGCAAATGGCTCTACTCTGTATGTGGGTATTTTCTCACAGAGAAAAATATAAAATATATTTGTAAGCTCCTTTCACTAGGGGAAAAAAGGCAATTACTCACCTTGTTTTCTTTAAGTATTTCACAAGCTATTTTGGCTGCCGCATTTTTGGCTTCCCTCTTTGATCTACCTTCAGCTTTTGGAAATTCTCTCCCATCTATTACAACTTGAAATGTAAACCTGATTATAAAAAAAAAATTCACAAAATATTATAAAATTCATGCATTATCTAAGGGCAGGTGTTCCGATCACCACTGCCTCCTACGACTACTTTTGAAGGTTTTAACCTACGTTCAATACAGAATTTATGCAGTCACCCCCAAATAGCAAAATTGTACATCATCTTGAAGCATGCAAAGGCTTATACCCTCTTTTTTCTCTAGAGTCCTCTGAAGTTACTATTTTATGCCAAGAGGACTCTCACAGAATTCTGTGGCAACTTTACTCTAGAGATAAAGTATTGACTTCAGAATTGTGCCAGACTGCCAGTCTCTCAGTTTATATTTTATACGGATATGCTGTTTTTTTTATAGCAACTTACCTTAAGTCATGTGGAGGTCCTGTCTTAGACAGTTCACGATAATCAATTGCTACATTATTCTTCTGATGGTACCTATTAAGTTCTTCTAAGAAGAGACCTCGTGAAAGATTAGTGGCCATTTCTTCTTCCAGTAACCTACAAGAGAAGAGATGTTTGAAAGAAGTGACACGGAACATATTTAATCTGATCCCAATCCAATTTAAGAGACAAAATAGAGTAAGAAGAATCTCCTCTATATGACTTATTTTGTCCCCACATAAAACCAGAGAAAACTTTTTTACAAATCTTTTTCTCTCTCTCACGGACTGCACAATCAAGCTAACTTCTTCAAAATTTTCTACTTTCAAAACTCGACTGGCCAAAAAAGGAAGGGGCCCTTCTCTATAACTGCTCTCTGCTTCCACAGAGTGTCAAGTACAAGACTGTCCACTTGCTTGAGAAGGTAAAAAGGCTGCTGCAGTAGAATTAGAATTCTTTATGTTGAGAAGAAAAAGGTTAAAAGTATATATATAAAGTGAAGTTTATGAAATCATGAAGGATTTAGCTACATAGAAATAGATTTTCCTACAAAATCCCAAAAATCCTCCCGTTGAAATTTGCAGATCAATTTTAGGACAATTTACCTGGGTAAATTATGACCCCGGTTTATGGGCCTCACTGGACCAAGACAGTGGCAATGATTTAAATTATAAACAAAAGCTAAAGGATATAGAATCTAAATATAAGAGCCCAAACTATAAAATTCTTAGAAGAAAAGCTAAAAATAAATCTTCATAACCTTGGATTTGGCAATGGAATCTTAGCTATGACAGCAAAAGCACAAGTAACAAAAGAAAATATAGATAAATTGGGCTTCATCAAAATTAAAAATATTTGTGTATCAAAGGACAATATGAAAAAAATGAAAAAAAATCTATAAAATGGGATATTTATAAATCATATATCTGATAAGAGTCTAGTATCCAGAGTATATGAAGAAATGCTACAACTCAACAATAAAAAGACCAGCCAATTAAAAAACAGACAAAGGACCTGAAGAGACATTTCTCCAAAGAAGATACAAAAATGGCTAACAAGCACGTGAAAAGCTCAATATCATTACTCATTAGAGAAACGCAATTCAAAACCACAACAAGATACCACTTCACACCCACTAGGATGGCAATAACAATAATAAAAAAGAATAGTAAAGGGTTGGTGAGGATGTAGAGAAACTGGAACCTTCATACATTGTTGATGGGAATATAAAAGGGTGCAGCCTCTATGGAAAAGAATTTGGTGGTTCCTCAAAAAATTAAACTTACAATTACCATATGACCCAGCAATTCCATTCCTAGGTCTATATGCAAAGAATTGAAAAACAGGTTTTCAAACAAATACTTATACAGGAATGTTCACAGCAGCACTATTCACAATAACCGAAAAGTAGAAACAAACCAAATGTCCATCAACTGATGAATGGTAAACTAAATGTAGTATATCCACACATGGAATCTTATTCAGCCACAAAAAGGAATGAAGTATTGAAACACGCTACCACATGGATGAACTTCAAAAACATTATGCTAAATGAAAGAAGCCAGACATAAAAGGTCACATATTGTATGATTTCATTTATATGAAACATCCATAGATGTTAAGGTAAATCTATAGAAACAGAAAGCAGACCCTGTTAACCTCTCATTTCTTGTTGGAAAGCTCTTTTGATTTTCCTTCTTCCATGGCCAAGCTTTCTTCCTAAGATTTCTTAACCTTCATAGGCTCTAAATGCTGGAGTTCCTCAAAGCTTGGTCCAAAGATCCTATTCTCTTCACTCTATACTTTCTCCTCAAGGTGATTTCTTTCATGTTCATAATATCAACGATCATCTATTGGTCATTAACTCTAAAATTTACATATCACTTATGAACCTCTCTCTGAGTTTCAGATCTCTCTATCCAACATCTCCACTTGGACATCTTGAAAACATTTCAAACTCAAAAGATCCAAAACTGCATTTATGATTGTCTCCTAAGCTGACTGGAGTTTCCTTTCTTAGAAAATGACTTCACCATCCATCCATGTCTGAAAGCCATGAATCTGGGAGGAATCCTTGATATTTCCTTTCCTTAACTTATAATCCATAACTAAGTCCTGTCCCCCAAATCTTTTTACTTCTCAATGACGTCTATAGCCACCATCCTGGTTCACGCCATCACCATCTCACTCCTGGACCGCTGCAAGAACCTCAGAACCAGTTTGTCACAGCCACTGCAATTCCTTCTCTCCCATGCAGCCATCATGATTTTTTTTATTGTGGTAAAATATGCATAACATGAAATTTACCCTTTTAACCATTTTTAAGTGTACAATTCATGAGCATTAAGCACATTCACAATGTTGTGCAGCCATCATTGCCAATCCTCCTCGAGAACTCTTTTCATCTTCCCAAACAGAAAGTCTGTACCTATTAAACAATAACTTTCCATTTCCCCAACCTCTTCATCTCTATGAATTTGCCTTCCACGTAATTCATATAAGTGGAATAATACAATATTTGTCCTTTTGTGTCTGGAAATTTCACTTGGCATAATGTCTTCAAGGTTCATCCATGTTGTAGCACGTGTCAGAATTTCATTCCTTTTTAAGGCTGAATAATATACTACTGAATGTACATATCACATTTTGTTTATCCATTCATCTGATGATGGACATTTGGATTATTTCAACTTTTTGGCCATTGTGAATAATGCTGCTATAAACACTGGTGTAAAAACATCTGTTCACGTCCCTGCTTTCAAATCTTTTGGGTATATACCTAGAAGTGGAATTGCCGAATCATATGGTAATGCTATGTTTAACACTTTGAGGAACCATCGAATTGTTTGCCACAGTGGCTGCATCATTTTGTATTTCCACCAGCATGCACAAGGGTTCCAATTTCTCCACATCCTCACCAAGACTTGTTATTTCCCATTTTTTAATAGTAGCCACATGGTGATCTTTTTTAAACATCAGTCGAATCATGCAGCCCCCACAAGCCATCAAAACTGTACTTGTCAAGGTTACCAATGGCTTACCCATCTCTAAAACTAGTAGTCAGTTCTCAGTCCTGGTCTACTTGTCCTTAAACCAGCGTTTGACATGGTTGTTCATTCCCTTCCCCCTCGTCTTCCTTTCTTAGCTTGGATCTCTGAGATACCACACTCTCTTGGTTCTCCTCCTTTCTCACAAGCTTCTCTGTCTCCTTTCCTGGTCCCCCTTCATCTTCCCTTCTTCTAAATATTGCAGTGTCCCAGGGCCCAGTCCTTAAATCTCCTCTCTGGTCTACTTACACTGACTCCACTGGTGATCACCTCTGGGCTTGTGGCTTTAAATTCCACATACACAGTGATGTTCTCAAAAGCATGCCTCCACCACTGACTCTTTCCTGACCCCCAACTGCTTCTGTCCAATACACTCCCTCCTGAAATGCTCCTGACTCAACCCCTTCTGCTGCCTTTGCCGGGTCAACTCCTCTTCCCTATAGATCTCAGCTCAAATGTCATTTCCCAGACAGCCTAGAAGAGGTCCTGGTTTGGTGCTCTATCACAGCTCTTGTCTCCTTTATTGCAACCGCTTATTTAACTGACTGTCTTCCAAAAGAGACCAGGAGCTACAAGAAGGAAGGACCAGGCTTATAATAGGGGCTCAATAATGAATGAATGAATACCAAAATATCTCCAGACCTCCCCCACCTCCGTGACTTGTCACTTGCTTTTCTCTTTGCATGGAATGCAGTATCTGCATCCTCTATCTACCAGGCAATTCCCACTCATCTGTGAGGATCAACACAGCCTTCTTTGATGATGGGGGCCAGCTAGTACTCCTCTGTGGGCCTGCCACTCCACCTTGCCCAGCTCCCATCATAGCTGTGACTGCTTTTTAAGCCAGTCAGCGAGCTCTTTGGGGAGCAGGTTCTATGTCTTACTCATCTTTGTATTACCAACGCCCTGTGGCAAGTGGTAAACGCTGAACACTTAGATAGTGCATAGGTTAATGAGAAAATGATTCATTAAAATTAAATATTCCACTTTAAACCTCCTCACCTTCTCCCTTTTCTTCATCTGCTGTTTTCTGTGCATTCTTTCATCACTCATTCAATAAATGCTCATCGAATGTCAGGCACTGTTCTGACATTGAGTATACAGACGTGAACAAGTCCCTACCTGCATTCCAATGAGGGAAGAAAGAAAATGACCACGTCCAGTAACAAACAAAGGAGAGGATGAGAGGATGACCAGAAGGATGAAATTAAATAGGGGTGCAGGATAGAGGGTGCATTGGTAGGTGGGCGCAGAGATATGAGGGAAGTGGTTTTAGATACAGTGGTCAGGGGAAACCCTTCTTAGGAGGCAACACTGAAATCAAGCCTGAATGATGAGCGAGTCCATCATACCAAGATCTGGGGGAGAGTATCTTAGGCAGAAGAAACACTGAGGCAGGAACCGGCATAGCATTTGGAAGGATAACAAAAAGGCCAAGGGGATGTGCTGCACAGGTAACGAGGAGGAAAGGGTAGGACATGAGTCAGAAAAGCAGGCAGGTGTCACGGCAGAGATACCTTGTAGGTCACGGTCAGGACTGTGGATGTTACTCCAATTGCAATAGGAAGCTATTGGAGGGATCTAAACAGAGGGGTGATATGACTGGGTTTATGTTTTAAATGATGACTGATGTTTGTAAAGAACAGAGTATGCGGGGCTGGGTGTGGAAAGGGGAGCAGAGCATGAGTAGAAGGAGGGAGACCATGTAGAGGCTGCTGCAGCGGTTGGGTGAGCAACAGTGGTGGCTGGAAGCAGGGTCTGGAAGTGCCAGGAGTCCGAGCAAAGGCAACGCCTTCACATTCCTGCCTAGTGTGGTGGACTGAGTCAGGCTTTAGAGCCACACAGACCTGGGCTAAATCCTCTCTGGACCTTTGATTAGTGACCTGAAAACGTGATTCACAGGTTGTTGCAAGGAGTAAATCGGATGAAAAGCATCCAGCAGAGTCTCCCACACCATTGGCTTCAATAAATGGTGCTCCTGGTCTATAATTCCGAAATCCAAAAAGCACTAAAAACTGAGGTTTATTTTGTTTATAGTGGGTTTGTAGTCCCCTATCTAGACCTGAACTGACAGGAGCTATTTAGAGTCTTTATGATACTTTGTTGTCTATTTATACACTTCCCTGCAGAAATGTGTTTTATTATAGAGTGTTGCCCCCAAATCCTGCTGAGAATATCATATAATAGATAGGATTTATGCTGCCCTGCCTTTCTAAAATCCAAAAATCTCTCAATACAGGAACATACCTGACCCAAGAGTTTCAGATAAGGCTCCGTAGACCACCATTATTTTCAGGAACCAAAGTGTCATTCAGTTTAGTCACAACAATGAGACCATACACCAAATTGGAGGGGGTCACAGATCTCAGAACAGCAGTTATGGAAGAGTCCTTAGCAATTATTTAACCTGAAGACCTATCGAATGCTCTAAATCCTCAGCACTTTTAACTCTAAGTAACTGCTGATCATCAGAATGACAAGCCAGTCTGACTCTAAGTGAAATATATGTGTAAACTAATAAGGCGCTGAATTGGTATGTTTGAAAAAGTACTTACAAGTTTGGAAGAAAAGAAACAGTAGGTTTCTTTTCAACTATTTTAAATAAATCTTGTTTTAATTCTGTGTTACCATGTTCCTAAAAGAAATCACCATAATCACAAACAAGTGTTATATGTCCATCTTACTCATGCCCAGAAGCCACTTTGGCTGGGCGTCTTGTTCCCTTCTGCCAGACTGCAGCCCCCTGGGGCCCAGCCCCTCCAGGGCCTACACAAGGCTTGGCATACAACACACATTCCACTGGTACCTGATTAGTGAGATGAATAAACTACAGGTCGAGTGTTACGGATCTTCAGGTTCAAACAAGCAAACTGAAGAACAAGAGTATAACCTGCCCAAGATTCTAGGTTCCTGAGTGACAGCAGGGAGTGCACCTTTAGCTTCCACCTGGCAAGGTATCTTTATACTAAAGAAATCACAGGCAATAGGAAGTCTCACTAATCCAGAATTCAAAAGACAATTTATGAATTGCCATTCATTAAATAAATATTTAATGAGCATCTGTGATGTACTAGGTGCCGGGATTATACCAGCGAACAAAACCCTGCTCTTGTGAATTTAGGAGTGGAGGAACACGGACAAGCCTATAAAAAAATGCTACAGGGTGCTAAGTACCATGCTGAAAACCAAAGCAGAGCAACGGGGACAGCGAGGGAAGGGTGGGGTTTCTTTTATATGCAGGTGGTTCAGGGAAGGCTGCTCTGATAAAGCGACACTGGAAGAAGCGCAGGTTAGAGCGGGGGACTGGCTCCTGCAGGTATCCGGGGGAAGAGCTTTCCGGGAAGAAGAAACAGACAGCGCGAAGGCGCAGCGGCAGGAGTGTGCTTGGCTGTACCCCAAGAACAGCAATGAGGCCTGTGTGGTCAGAGTGGAGGGAGCAAGGAGCCTTGCCTGTGGGCCGATAACCGTTTATAGGATTCTGACGAGATGGCAAGCTATTGGGGAGGTGTGAGCAGGGGAGTGACCTGTTCTGCTTTACAGGAACGCTCCGGCCGCTGCGGTGTTGGGGCGCCGGGTTACAGAAACGGGCGGGGGCTAAGGCCGGGTAATGGGGAGACAACTGCTACTGTTCAGGCCAGAGATTTTTGGCTAGGGATTATTTAGGCAATTTGGGGGTAATTCAGGCCTCCATATTTCCCATCTGTCTGTCAAGTTAGAGGGCGTATCTGTTTTCCACCAGCCCCCCCCCCCCCGCCCCCAACCCGGGCCTGGGCTATTCGTCACTTACTCGGATAAAAATGCTTCGCGGGACGATAACGGCTCTCGGTTCCCACTGCCCCGCACGATCCGGTGCCCAGATCCGGGAAGGGCCCTGGACCTCGGCTGCGGGCCTCGGAGCGCGCTGCGGGTGGGGGTCGGGGGCCTCTCACCGGCGCGCAGGACGCGGCTGGGGACGCGGACGGCGCGCAC